CAACCACTACGCCGGGGAGGACGCCACGGTAAATGTTCTTCCTCTTTAAGGGGAATCTATAAATGTACTTCCTGAAAATGAATTTACTGAGAACAGAACTTCCCTTTGTTGTCGTGTTGGTATCCCACAGTAAGAGGTGGCTGAACAGTTCAAAGAGCCACTGTGAGGTATAATCCGGCTTAATTTCTGTTCAAGGCATGCCACAGCAGTCATTTGAACAGGGACTTCTCAATAACTGCCTTATAGGAAATAACACCCCTTCTCCATGAATACAAAAAACACGGCAATAAGTTATTTAACAGCAATTAATTCAGATGTCCTAAACATTTCTCTCACTGGGACACATGCCATCACTCATGTCAGTCGTATATGCGTGGGAAAAAGTTCCTCCACTTCTCTAACTGGTGATGCATATTGGCCTTTTACATAAACATGTCTTGTACTTCTTTGTAGATACTGTGTACATCCTTAATGCTTATTCTTCCTAATTAGAATAATAGGCACGTGAAATGGTGGAATAAATCTTTCTTCAACCTTTGACCCACATTTCCACGTGTGTGAGCATGACCTCTCGTAAACCATGGCAAAGTGGTGGATGTCTAAAATATCTCTCTGACTAGTTGACATATCATATTATGGTGTATATTGTTTTATGACTATCCGCAAACTATATTTGTGTTGTGTCTTTTGTAATAATTTATAATCAGGTTATCACTGCAAACATCCAAAACTGTATTTCAGCAAAAATCTTAACGTTGCCAGAAAGGTAATCCTGATAATATAAATTGCATTGTAGATTGGCATCTGCTGCACATCAGGTAGCAAGTCTCCTTTTGTCTCTTAACCATTTTAGAGATATATTAACTGAAACCTATAGGAACGGCAGATCTGCTTACTCCTTTAATAATCTAATTAATACCTGACAGATGAAGAAGAAGAAGAATACTTTATTGATCTCAACATTGAGAAATTCAGTACAGCCCGTACCAAATTCAGAACAAACAAAACACATAGACACAGCAGTTCGGGAACGCCGTAGGGCAGCCACACAGGGGGGTGCTCCGGTTTCCTTCAGAACAAAAATACTTTGGGAAAATAGTTGCGGGAAGATGGGGGAAAAAAGGCCCAGTGCCACGCCCCCTACAGGGGACATAACAGTGATTAAAAAAACACCTCAGTACACTAAAGCCCAGACAGGCAAATCACAACATCAAGGACACGTAGGGAGACAGGGATGGAGGGGTGGAAGGAAAGTGTAAGCAAGCTGGAGGTCCACATCCACAGGCTAGATGCAATTTGTCCTCGTGATGCCCATACTCCTGCTTGGAGTATGGGCAACACCTATAGATGAGTGAAACCAGACAAGAGAAGTGGTGGAATTAAGTTTTCCCAAGTCATCCAAATAAAATGCATTTCCTTGTTTGGAACAGCAGAGGGCAAACATGTACATGGAACAGAACCGTGAGAAGTTCCAGCTCCTTCATGAAGCTGTCACTAGATATGGATATAAACCACAATCCTCTGAATTTCATTGCACTTCCCGCCCTTCCTCCCTGTTCTTAGCAGAGCTTATTTTCATAGGGATCCAAAATGACTGAATCAAACCGTGCTATAACCAGAAGAAACTGCAGGATGAATTAAAAGTAACAAATGGAGCCTTTGATGTCATGTTTGCTGAGTTATTGTATTCACTTTACATTCAGGACTAAGTTGGAAATAAGCTTGAATAGCTATGACTTACCTCACACAAAATTCACTGGAACATTTTGGACCATCTCTGTTTTTATCTGTTGATATTTATGCCTTTAGTTTGTACGTTTCACATGTAATCGTTTGTTTTTCTCGTGTTTACCTTTCCAGGAGGTTTTCTCAGCTTTTCATCCTGATCAGAAGTTTGTGCAGAAGTTCCTGAAGCCTTTGTTGATCGGGGAGCTGGCAGCGACAGAGTCCAGCCAGGACATCAACAAAAACGTGAGGCTCTGAATTCAAACGAAAGGTGGAGGTTAGCCTGTGAGCCATGTGGTCTGGGAGTCCTGCAGAGCTGACATTTCCAGTGTTACATATCAGCTGAACGACGGAGTTTCTTCTTTTCTGCTTCTAGGCAGCAATCATTCAGGATTTTGATATTCTGCGAGAGCAGGCAGAGAAGGAGGGTCTGTTTGGAGCCAAACCTTTGTTCTTCTGCCTCCATCTGGGCCACATCCTGCTGCTGGAGGCCCTGGCGTGGCTGCTGGTCTGGTACTGGGGGACGAGCTGGACTCTGACGCTTCTGTGTTCAGTGATGCTGGCAACCGCTCAGGTAATGTGAGCAGAAACATCAGCTGCTAGGGTCCCAGCTTCCCTTTACTTAAAGACGGGTTGTGCTCCTCCTCAGTCTCAGGCCGGGTGGTTGCAGCATGACTTCGGCCATCTGTCCGTTTTCAAGAAGTCTCGATGGAATCACCTGGTGCACAAGTTTGTCATCGGACATTTGAAGGTAACCAGTCGGCATGATCAGATCTTTTTTTCCCCCTAAAGCTTATGCAGTTATTGGAAGACTGTTTTCATAGGGAGCCTCAGCCAACTGGTGGAACCACCGACACTTCCAGCATCACGCCAAACCGAACACCTTCATGAAGGATCCTGACATCTACATGTTGGACATCTTCGTGCTTGGGGACACTCAGCCAGTGGAGGCATGTTGCTTTGAAACAGATGATTTCTTACTCCTTAAACATCTCTAACTCCTCCGGTTCTCCTCTCTGTTACAGTACGGAGTGAAAAAGATCAAGCACTTGCCTTATAACCACCAACACAAGTACTTCTTTCTTGGTAAGTTTGTTTAGTACAATTCAAAGTAATGATGAATGCAACATTAAAAAATAGTTACAGCTTCAAGGAATCGTTTTGTTTCTTTATTTAGTGGCACCACCACTGCTGATTCCAGTTTTCTACAACTTTAATATCATGAAGACCATGATTTCCCGTCGTGACTGGGTGGTAAGAGGAAGTCCTCTGGGAATTATTATTTTTCTAGTATTCTTAATAGTTAATCAGATTGTTTTTGCCACACAAAGAAAAACAAACACTGTGTTGTATTAACCTTTTGTTCCAAAGGACCTGTCATGGGCCATGACGTACTACCTCCGTTACTTCTACTGTTATGTTCCCCTTTATGGCATTTTTGGCTCGTTGGCTCTCATGACATTTGTAAGGTATAGAAAACGGCTCCTATTTATGAAGCGCTCTTCGTCCCTGACGGAGTTCACACTGCACTCCTTTTTTCTGCCACCAGGTTTCTGGAGAGTCACTGGTTCGTGTGGGTGACACAGATGAGCCACCTGCCCAAGGACATCGACCATGAGCGAAAGCAGGACTGGGTGACCATGCAGGTACCTGCTTTTTTTGGAAATACCGTGTCTGTCAGTATGTCTTTGATTCTTTGAAGTCCAGAGTAAATATACCCCGGCAGCCTACTTGAAAAAAAATCATCTGAGGACTAACTCTACTCCTTTCATCAACCTTCGCAGTTACAGGCCACTTGTAATATTGAGCAGTCCTTCTTCAACGACTGGTTCAGCGGACACCTCAACTTCCAAATTGAGCACCAGTAAGTCAGACGATTGAGTCGCTGCAGCGCAGTCAGGAGAACGCTTTCATCTCCCACAAAGAGCATTGAAATGAGAAGACAAAGCTTTGTTCTGCAGAGACAAGCATAAAGAGCTCAGAGTAAACAGTTTTACAGGTGACTTCACCATTAAACCAAAATCAGCTCCACAGTTTAGCTAAAACATGGAAAATCTTTTGAGAACAATGCATCAGTAATGATGGATCATCCCAGTCTGCGTAAAAATGTCAGAAATGTGGACTGTTTTTTTTTTATTTTTTAAACAGAACCACCTAATGAACACCTCTTGATATTTCTCTCTCTCTGAAGTTTGTTTCCCAGAATGCCACGCCACAACTACCCTGTAGTGGCCCCGCAGGTCCGTGCTCTTTGTGAAAAACACGGGATTCCTTACGAAGTCAAAACTTTGTCGCGAGGCATGGCTGATGTTGTCAGGTGAGGACTGGCTGGCAAAGGAGTTTGTGTGGAGATTCAGTAAACATGAACACAATATTGTCAAAATACCCCTTTTTACACTCCACCAAGCTCTCAGTCTTCTTTCCTTAACAAATATTATCATTATTATTATTATTATTCTGGACAGCTCATCTGTTAAACAGGCCGCTAACTGAGTTTTTTGTCTTCCCTTCCTTTGTCAGGTCACTGAAAAAATCAGGGGATCTCTGGCTGGATGCATATCTTCATAAATGACCGACTGGAGTTATGCATTCCGCTTTTGCAACTAAAAACAATTGTATCTTTAGATTTTAAAATCAGTTTTTAGTTTAATCTTCTTTTTTTTGTCAACGTCAACAGATCTGTTAGCCTTTTGTTCTTGTGGGACGTTTGTGTCTCTCTCAACACAAGCGGGCCTTATAAAGGACAACTGTAAAAAAAAAAAAAAAAAAAAAAAGCCAAGTACTGGAAAGTGATAACAAATGTTTTGCCCTGTTGTATAACCTGAACAGTAAGTAATAACAGCAAGTATCCTGACAAATAAAGTAACCCGATCTTACAAGATATCTGGCGTTTTTCTTTCAAACCGTCAATTGACAATTCCCACATTTCTACATTTCTATTTCTACATTTTAATGCATTTATAAACAAACAAACAAACACAATGAAAATTTTTTTTTACAAAGTACAGCTTTTAATGATAATATTTTAACCAATGCATCCCACAATATTTACAACTCCTTGAAAGTTGCTGTTAAATGTTCATTATATTGTTTAAAATGACTAAAACAAATTTTTCCAAAGCGCAGGTACCTTTGTAAAATCTCACATTGTCAATAAAAAAAGAGTGTTCAAGACAGCATCTAATTTTTACTAACAGTGACCTTGTGCAGTATTATTGTCTGCTAAGCTGGCCTGAAATCAGTAGAAACGGTAAGATTATACATATTAATACTTGGTGTTGATCGGCATTTACCAACCAGGGAGAGACTACCACTGACAACTAAAAAGCACAAAGCATGTTTTATCATTCCTGTAAACAGCAATAGGCAAACAGAAATTGGCTATACATCAGAAAATGTGACAAATATTCTGGCACTGATTTGGAAATGCGACAGCTAAGATTGACATATTTAGTAAACAATGTTAGCAGCGAGCACAAACAGTGACCACACCGCACACACACATATGTATGCTACGTGCATGTCATGCATACACATACGCGCGCCCATACACAAACACACACACGCCAAACTGTACATGAGTCGATACGTTCCTGTTCTCAGCAGTTGAACGATTGGAGAAACTGAAATCAAAAGCAACGTGATTTTGAAAGGAAAACACTTGATTAGCATGCGCAGTTTGAGATAAAAAATAAATATACAATTAGAAAAACGTACACAACATTTGAACAATTTTATGCTGGAGATCACAAAGAAGCGCAGTGTGATTTAGAGCTGCTGAAGCGATGAGAGCTGTGGGGGGGGGGGGGGGTTGTTTGGAAAAAGGTTCAGTCCTTCGCACCAGAGTCGATCCTCTCCTGCCTCCGCTTCATGATTTCCTGCAGCTCAGAGTCACCCCGGGACTGCTGTGAAGGAAGCACCAATGTTCCATTTACTTTCTCTATATAACTCATTTTCATGTGTTTTTATAAAAAATGTTATATGAAAAATGATTTGATAAATCCCAAAAGCAGATTATTTGTGGAATGGAATAATATCCTGGAGACGTCCAACATACAAATGTTTCTACATTTAAAATACTGAAAACAGTGAATTCACTTGTAGGATTTGGATTCTTTATGACTATAACGGGGTTTATAAGCAGCATGCATGCTCTCACAGACAGAAAATGATGACCAACCTCCAGCATTCCTTTCTGCACGGTGACTTGATGGTAGACCCGACTACCTTCCTCTCCACACACTGCCTTCAGCTCCTCTTTGTTCAGGGAGAAGAGCTGGGCTCCAGTCAAGATCCCCAAACAATCCACAGTCCTGCGGAATTAGTCGAACAAATCAGTGACACATTCACCAAAACTGCATTTCTTACATGGACCTCGAAACAAGCAGAGAGCACATTGCTGCAACTCAAGCATGACACAATTTCAATTTGGTGCTAAATTCTGAGAACATTTAAAGAATTCTGAAGAAACAATTAAACATCAAGAAAATATTACAAGGTGCTCTGAGTTTGTATTTAAAACAGCCTTGTGCATTTTTAGCATTGGATCAATGTTCAGACCAATAAAGTGAAACATTTTTTTAGATACATTAAAACACAAACAAAGATTACAGTAAATAAAGTATATATCTTAGTTCACCAGAGCATCTGATTAACTGAGAAGTTAAGCCCCTGGGGGTCAGTGAAATGAGAAGAGAGGTGTATGGATGAATATCATGGGATACTTACGGTTTTGAGAAATTTTTGGAATTGAGCCACGTGGTCACCTGCTCTGGGTTAGAGTCAGAGGTGAGCGGCACCTGAGAGCCTGAGGATTTCTCAACACGGATCCTCCTGTTTGGCTGCGTTTTGCTGGCGGTGATTTTAATCAAGAGCTCATTGTTGACCTCATCCATAACTGCAATGCAAAGACATGAAGGATGTAAACACAAAAAAAAGTCAAATAGCATCAAGGGTGGCTGTGGCTCCGGAGAAAAGCAGTTGTCCACTGACTGGAGGGTCAATGGTTCAACTCCATGTTCCGGGCAAAAGAGGACGTTTGGTCGCCCTGACATGTAGTGAAAAACGCTTTGAGCAGTCAGCTCGACTAGAACAGCCCTACAGAAGTGCATGTACGCTTACATTTACAAGAATTTGTTCATTTTATCCTGTTCACTCACTTCTATCTTTGGGTTTACCCCTGTTGAAACTGTCTCCATGACTCAGAGACCCAGAGGGTGACGACCCGTACCCTTTCTGCAAAACACAAGCATGACACAAAAACCACAGAGTTATTCCAGAAAAAAGTTTTTTCTCAACCCTAAATCTGGGTCATACATTTTTGCCCAGGGGCCAAAGAACAAAATAGGCGTGTAACTCTTTCATACAGGGAAAACTGGTTGCACACAGCTGCTGCAGGCTGACAGCACTGGCCCGCTATTAAGCAAGATCATCTAAATGTTGCATTCAATGTATCCTTTCCCTTCCCTTCCCTTCTATATCAGTGCTATTGACTGGAATTAAAAAGATATCAAAATCAATCTAATTTACCCATTTGCAAAAGCTTCAGATAACTGTTGTGTGCCTGGATATATCAAGAGATGTAATAAACTGAGAAGATCCCAGCCCGAGACAACAAGCAAATTAACAACCATGCAATCATGAGGGTGCTGTTATTTAAAGGTCTCAGTGGATGTATAGTATGTCCAGTGGGTTGGTCACCTGGCTGAAGGGGCCCTCTGGCTCTTCTATCTTCACCACATCCAGGATATTAAATGGGACGTATCCGGCCTGCCCACTGCGATTCCGCAGTTTCCACCACTGTTTGTCATCCTCGATTACCTGCAAAAAATCAAACATCAGTCACTCAACAGCACTGAAAACGCTTCCCTGTTCACACACAGTGTTCAACAGCAATGAGCTGATAAATAAAAATACGACGTATCAACCTCGAGGATCTCATCCTGCAGCACTGACAGCTCATTGGCATTCCGCGCTACAAAGTGGTAGCGGATTTTGGCATATTTGCGGGTGCTGGGCATCTCACTGTAAGACCTGAAGACACACATAAAAGGATAGTCCCACATGTTTTTTGTGTATTAGCTGAAATGCCCAAGAAAGTTCCCAGACTTCCTAACTTACCCATTCAATGAGCTTGGAGAATGACTTCCATAATACTAAATAAGGACAGAAAAATACATTTATTATATAATACATCTCTAATGGTTAAATTCAGCAGACGGCTAACTAACAAATCACTCACGTCCTCAGGCGAGTGTTTCCTGTAATCGGGGCTGGTGGGGGGCCCAAACTGTCCTGATGGCCCCTCGGTTTCCCAGGGAGCTGTCATGAAAAGCTCTGCTGGTGGCTCCCAGCCATTCCGAAACCTTGGGACATATAGAGGGGCGTACTGATCCCTCGGCCATTCGGCTCTGTAGGAGGAAGAGTGAGGGAATGATCCAAAGGTGACCCTGAACCTATGCGTGTGTGTACATATAGAAAATAAAGTGCATGTGCTGTACCGGGGTTTGGTCCATCCATCCCCGAGCAACTCAAAGATGGTGGTCTCCTTAGGACTGAGTTGTCCTCGTATGAAGTCCACAGCATCTCTGGAGAGGTGAGGGGAGAAAACTGAACGTGCCAGTTCAGGACTCCCACAGCTCTGAAGCACCTGGAGACACGTCCAAAGGTTTACAACAGCTAAACAAAGTACATCCAAAGGCATTTAGTATTTTTGGCTTTTTCTTCAGCAAAATACTGACAATTTTCAAACTTAAGCTTTTAAAATGGTTCAGAGCTAATGCAAGCATTGTAAAAAAAAAAAACAATGCTTGTACCATGATTTCAAGTTGTTCGATCTAGAATCAAACAATCAAGTAAAAGTTAAGAATCTTTTACTCTGTGTTGTTGAGGAAAATAACTGAAAACATTTCTGCTGGCTGTAATCCCAACAAGTCACTAAAAAAAATAGTGTCAGTAATTTTTATTACATCCATTAATTGAGGTCTGGTCATGGAGGCAACAGGTTTGGAGAAAAAAAACTTTCAAAACATGGACATCCTAAGGGTTCTAAACATTGTAAATGAACACATTACCCCCCCATTAATGCTGTAGGGGAGCACAGATGTGGTGCAGCTGCAGTCAGCAAGAGGTCTTGGCGCCACATTCTGAGAATGGCTGCTTTGGTTCAGTTTCAATATGAAACAAACCCAGCATATCCAAAGATCACAGTCCATATTAGCATGTTTCTACCCAGCAGTATCGAAGGAGTGGCTGAACACTGTGGCTCAGGGAAACCAACATTATGTAAGTGTGGCGGCAGCTGCATTAGAGCCAAAAACCACACCATTCTAAATGAGTGAGAGTGGTGTTGAGTGGCAGTGGGTGCGGCTCCAGAGAAAGAAAAAAAACAACAAGGTGAATGTCTGAATGCCCTGTGGGAAAAATGTAAGCGACTGACAACTCTTATTCAGTGGAATTGTTAATATGTGTTCTTTATTGGTTCAAGATACATGAGCTAGGTTAATATCAAATGTAATGTTTCAACATATTCAGCTAAATAATGAAAAAACAAGTCATATATCTGTGTATTTAAGAGTGCTTCATCCATTTTAGCCATCTTAAGTTCAGACATTCTGATATTAAGCTCTTACCAGCTCCAAAGGGCCAAAGAGGAAGTGGACCAGCTCAGACGCACTCGGGTTATGGATGTGTTTCTTCAGTTTGGCCTGCAGGAGGCAGAGTGACAGGAATACAGGATGAGGTGATGAAGGAAGGGCTGAGCGGGAGGGTTTACAAGCTGCGATAGCTCACCAAGAGGTTGAGGGCCAGCTTCAGTTTCTGCAGGCTGTCAATGAACTCGGCTTCAGTGGGGGGCTTGGCCCGCAGGGTGAGCATGCCCTCTGTAAGCAATCAGAGCAACAATGAGCCAACGTACACCGCACAGTTCCCAGCCTGCCACACAGACATGTTGCACAACACACAGCTCATAAGCTTCACTTTCTGATCAGGGTTCAGAGTCGTAAATATTAGTTAAACCTGGGGATTGGGCGATATGGTAATGGTTAACGCATGACCACGTTTACAGATTTAGGTTTACAATAGGAAGAAAAACAAAAAAACCTAGACATTGCCTACGGGGGGGGGGGGGGGGGCTTCATCTCAACTTGGGGCTCAAAAGGTAAAAAAAGACAAATGGACAACATCCACTTTTAAAATTTGAAACTGTGGTAGTATTTTCAGGAATATTCACAGTTTTTAACTGCACCTGATTGATGGAAACGGATCGAAAGCACAACACAGCACAAAAGCCCCAGCCCACAAGTTGAGAAAAAATTCTTTAAAATCAAGAATTTTCATACTTTTAGAACATCTGCCGTTATATTCAGGGATCATAAAACCCATTTACTCTGCACTTTTGAAGGTGAAACGCAAACTGTGGCCGTCTCTGGTGAGGCACACATTTATAACACTGTGTTGACATAAAAACAAAGCGTCATGACACTGCCACTGTTGGGGATAAAACATCACTCCGCATTCATAGTAATATTATTACATTCTATAATCATCACAAAACAAAATTATTTATGACTCAGTAATTTTTCTCTGGTTGGAATAGAATCATTAGAAAATTAATCCACTCTAAACCTGCACTTATCTTGAAAGAAAAGTGAAAAAGAAGTAATAATATTACTGAACCCCAACAGTGAAAGTCTAGACTGGCCACTGATACCACCCATATAACCATCAATGAATGAAAGTCCTGGGTCACAAGTAGCAAAAACACACAAACATAGTATTGTGAGCAATATGAGTATATTGTCACCGCAATTGTGCCACCACAGAAGAAGAAAACAGACCTGCTGGTCCTTTCTTCTTATTCTTCTTACTCTTGTTGCGTTGGTTGAGCTGGGAAAAGGCCTCTGCCATCTTTTGCAGCCGTGCCACAAAGATTTCTATGTCATCCAGAGCACAGTTGAGGATTTGCTGAAGGTGACAAAAAATCGGTCTGAAGGGTTATCGTTTCCTACAAGGAGCTGTGTGAAGGAATAGCATGATGGACAGGAAATGCTCACCACATCCTTCTCAATGCGCTGGGCCAGCTTTTCATGTGACTCCGAGTCACTTTGTCCAGAAGCTCGTCTGTCTATATTCAACCATTTCAAATATGACGTGACAATTCAAAGAATGCAGAAATGCAGCAAAGTGTGCATGTCATGGTGAGAGCTATGTGAGCATATATGTGTTCTTACCCTGCGTGTAGGCAGCTGCTGCCACTCGGCCTGTTGCAGCAGATGCGGGGCTCTTGGAGGCTGACGGGGGGAGAATGGTTTCTCTTTGATGCTTCATTTTCTCCTGATTCACCCTGAAGGAAAATACGTCAAGTTAGCTGAATGGCTAGGACTACTTCAAATATGCATTTGACTGCTGAAATGTGTGTGTAAGCAGAACTCCTCTCACTTCAGAGTTTGAAGTCTCATTTTCTTCCCATGCTTGTTGTCTCCAATGGCACTATCTATGTCTGCGTGGACCATTTCAGCCTGGAAGTGAGGAAAGACACAAAAGGTCATCTTATAAGGTTTCAGCCAAACCAAACCTCCCTTTTGCTCTCAATGGACTGTTTTCCCTGCATTTTTCCAGGGCTTGGGAAACATCAACACAGACATTTACAGCTGGAAATCTTTTCAGGTTCTGAAGCTTTGAATGCCTGAATGAATAGCTCCTCTTCTGCACCCATTTGGACACTTTTTTACAAGTAATGGTATGGTAGTTTGGTATGATATAAATTTCACAGTAATGTGCCAGGCTTTCTCAGAATGGTGCTACAACAAATTTGAAAAAGAAGAAAAACTGAAGAAAAATAAAGAAGAGAAAAAATAATCTACCAGAACCATCCTTCAGTTGAGTGTGTTTACATGACCTACAGCAGAATTCAGATTCTCTAATCTCAAATCAATTTCTCTCCTCAGTCTTTGTTTTATAAATGAATCTATTATTCTGTGGATCGTACTGTGAATATTTCTTAAGTGTGATCTTCTCCTACAGAACTTAGTAAGGCGGGCATGTGGAAACACACTGCAGATGCATGCTTTTTGTCTCTTAATTTGTTTAAATTGATTTGTGATGCATCTTCAACGTCTGCAGGAAATATTCACTTCTTGCATTTACAATTAAATCTTTCTAATGAACAACATGACATATTAGTAAACTGACCAAGTGCTCACTCAATATCAGCATTGAATTATCAAGAAATTAAACCCAAAATGATCAAATCATGATCTAATCATCAAATTTAATGTTCACATTCAGACCCACCTCCACCTCATCACAGTGGAAGAAATGAATGTCTGGTCTGTGTTGCTCCTTGTCCTGACACACGAGCAGCAGCACAGACGGGTAACGCGTCTGATTCAGCACCGTCTGGCTCATTTGAATCGTGGGGAGAGGGAAGTTCTCAAGTTCTTCCTGCAGGAACGCGACAAAAAAAAAAAAGAACGATTTGAAGAAATGAGGTAGAACAAACCAATCTGGGTGTGGTAAAAATATAATAATAATACTATGGAAATTCTTGAGGATAAATGTGAAGAAAGCAAGAAATGACATTAGAGAATTAAAAGATGCATTACCTGTGTGTCACAGTCAAGCAGCCTGACTGCCCTATCAGTCACCTGCAGCAGCATCTCCTGGGTCCAGATTTTACCCTTTGAGTCCAAAAGAATCAGTTTCTTGATTGCATCGTCCACCGTGACGATCGACTCTGTCTTGTCCATCATGAATGTGGAGAGGTGCTGAGAAGGAAACGGCTGTCAGTAGCAGCACCATATATGCAGAGTAAAACCGCCTCTAGAGCATGACATGAAAGATGGAACTGAAAGAGCTGGCTACTCTCTTTCTGTGTCTGCCATTGTTGTTACCAATTTGTGTTTTTACATCTTTTCAGGTATCCCTGAGCTGCTGTTATGGCGTTGTTGCCTCTCTACTGTCCCCCAAAATCCCAGCAAGTAAAAGCAAATGGACACCCTCCTTGGGTCTGGTTTTGCTTACTCAGACTGTAGATTTGATCAAAGAGAAGTCTAAAGGTTTCCTTAGCAAGGAAATTGGCTTTAAAAATTGGCTCTGTATACAATTGGATGCATTTGGAATGTCATTAACTGGAATCTTTTCTTATTATATCACAGTAATTGGATTCTAATTGGTTTGAATCTAATTATATCTTTGAAGTGTCTAAAAATGTAGATTTGGTTCACAGCTAAAATTCCTACTTTTTAAGGTATTTTCACAGTATGTTGTGCCAAGGCGGATGAACATAAATCCACTAAAACATCTATTGGAAAATCACAATTAAGTCGAAGCAATTAAGGTCACATTCCACCCCTTACTTAATTAGTTGTTTGAAAATGTATATTTTTAATCATTTTCATATTTTTCACCATACTGGCTGTAATACCATTCACTTTCTTTATTTTACAGTTAAGTTTTTGTACGATGTTGTTGTCCAGGTTTAGATCTCTGAGTGGTACCTACGGTTAAGCTATTAGTAATAAATATCTCATTCATCACAAAAATACTATCACAATACCCTCAGCAGACATTTTAAGTGAATTTCTCTTTTGATTTATCTGATTAAAAGAATTGAGTACTGCCATTATCGGTGAGATTCTTAACTGTGACTGTATGCTCATGTGTGATACTAAGGGATATTTGAAAAATGACTTTCTAATGTATGTTGATGCAGTACTAGTTCAGCACCATTGCTGACCCAGTGCACATATCTATCTATCATAAGCCCCCGCACAGCTGCAATCAAAAAAGCTTATTGTTTTATGACAACAGGGTTCCTGTAAATGAAAGCAATCAAATGTGTCAGATTTCATCTCCTGAACTCAAAGCACCTTTATAACACTTATATCTCAGGTTTTTATTTCTTTATTATATCTTTTACATAAAGGTGACAGATGATTTCCTAACTTTAAAAAAAATGAAAATCTTTATCTATCCTTTTTTTAAGCCTTTCTTTGTATATATTCACAGATTTTCACCATAAGTCAATTTTAACACTACAGATGAAGAGTAAAATGAGGTTGAAGTTTTGTTTTATGTTGTTACCTAAACGCAATGATCAAACTTCAGGCAGAAAAACATCAATAAAATCGTTATTGAATCGAGTGATGTACTCTGCTGAGTAGCATATAAATGATGAAACAGATCAACAAAGAAGGACATTTTTCCAACATTTCCTCATTTATGTTATTTTTCACAATGTTTAAATTTCCTTTGTTTCATTGCCGCCATTCGTTTACCTTTTCTAACACCTGATACACTAGCTTCTCACCTATTAAAAGCACTAACAATAAAGTATAAATATCACCTCATACATATTTCAGGGTTACAAATTAAAACTGTTGCATTTAGCTTCAATGAGAACAAATAGTTCCGAAGTTTTTTACCTCCACGTGATACTGCGACGTCTCATGCATGATGAAATTGGAGTTGGAGTACTTTTTCCGCTGTTCTGTGGGTAACAAAACAAGAAAATTGCTGATGAAAAAATCATTTTCTTGTAACCTCGTTATATTCAAACATCAATGCTACTACTGACCATAAGCCCACATGTTTTGGTTTCAAGCAGAGGGAGCAGAAGAATGAAATACTGAAGTGTGAGCTAAAAGAACTGCAGGGTAATAAGGAAGTGGCCGCAAAATATGTGTGCAAGTTTTTTTTCATATCTTATGGGAACACTCGACCAACAGTAAACAACTCTGCTGAGCTTTCACCTATGACGTGTATGCTCTGTAAATAATAAATAGTATAATTAATGCTTTATACTAGTGGTGCAGGATACAGTAAACCTAGACGGTCAAACTTTTCTTTCATCAAACTTTTGCATTATGTTTTCTTTAGAAATGCAATCAGGCTTAACTGAGTGGGTAATTATTGAATCTCACATCAAAGAGTATGTGGATCGCCATACGAAAAAGATTGAGTAGGGCACAGATTTGCCGCAGGGTCAAAGGTCGATGACAACAACATTCATTCTTGGCTGCTCTCCTGTGCTACTAGCTTATAAAATGCTTTGCAGTCACTACTGCCACTATGAATGTCTGCAATTGACTAAAAAATTTGTATAGCAACAGGTGTCGATTTCCACATATGGCTCACCCTTTACAGTCAGATTAACAGTGAGACTACATTTTTGGTGGCGTGCACCTCCAAACACAGATGCTGACAACAGCATTGCGTGACTAGCTGACTAAGGCCCTTGTGTGACTGTGTGATATTAAACGAGCGTGCCTATGTGCTTTTGACCCATTTACACAGTGAATGTCTGCAGATAACAATTACGGTTAAATGACATTTGGGTCCTATTAAGTCTAATGCCAGCTCTTATACCAGGTCACCACCCAAAAGAGTCAACATTCTGATTCCACTCAAATTCTTTTCACATCTATGTTTGTGTATTTTTACACAAAAGCTATGCTGTTTGCAGAAGACTTTGCAAAGTTATGTTCTTAAGCAAATTCTAATATTTGTCCAATATTTACAATTGACTGATTGGGTCATTGAAGTGATGAACACCTCGCTGAGTTGTTACATGTGCTTTGCCATGAAAACAGATTTCTAAAGGGGATGGTTTTGTTCTGTTCAAATGACGCAAGCAATTGTCTTCCCTGTTCCTGCCATTTCCTTTCAGCTGATTCCTTCCTGCTTGGCTCTCAGCAGGTGAAACACGAGCGTCAAGTGTTGATCTGAAAGTCGAGCCCGCCTCATGTTTTACTAATGATTGAAATGTGTGCCAATCAATTCACAGCATTGCAACAGCTTGCAATAAGAGCCACTTAGCAGGCACACGGGTCAGTCCACGATTCAGTCTCCAGAATCAGTGAGCAGTAAAATAAAAACACAATTCCCTGGCACATAATAATAACCATAAACAATCCACATCAATCAGACCATCCCATTTAAAAAAACCTGAGGCTTGGTATCAAACCTATTCAAATCCAAAACAACCAAACTTAACCTGATTGATAGAATGTTACAATTTAGTTTGATTGATTAAGATTATTACAAAAATACAAGGCACAATATCATAATGAAAGTCCAGTATACAAAAAGCCTAATCCATCTAACAATAACTAATTGTGTTGGCACAAACTGCTTTTAGCTCAAACTGCTGGGCATCCTTTTGCTGCAGACCTGTGCAGCTGTGTCCACAAAGATTTGTAGACGGAAAAGTATCACATCAACACATCTCTCAGCCCGCCATGCAAGAGAGGCTCAAATGAAACCACAATAGCTATCAGAGATATTCGGTTTCATATAAACACAGGCATTACAAAAGAAAACAGAGTAAAGCCTTCCTCCTCCACCCATTCAATCTCACCCTAAAAGCCGGTTACCTGACTGAGACATGCTCCTTAGCAAGAAATAGTCTGAGAAACTTAATAACTGCTGATAGTCCGAAGTCCAGAGATGATCTCTCCAGAGTGACCCTTTACTGCCTCACCCTAAAGAAGCTGATAACAGATCAGGTGGGAGGACCTGGGCATCATTTGCATCAGTTGTCTGATGCACACTCTGGGTGAATGACGGGGAGGTTTGCATATGGAAGATTGCTCTGCTGTCGTTAGCGTACATGTTTATTCAGGGATGTGTGAGCAGCACTCTATCCAAATCTTCAGCTCCGTTTTGGCCGGTGCACTCTCGGGTTGAAGAGGACGGGCGTGCTGTGGCTGCCCTGCAGTGAGAAGGTAGTGGTGACCATCTGCCACACAATAGGATATGAGCCATTGAGAAACAACACGGGCTCCTCCTGCATACAGTTGGATGTTCCACAAAGATCACAAGAGTGGGCGCACCCTGTGGCTATTTGGATGAGTTCAAGGCTCAAAAATATTTCACAGACAGCAAGGTGCACAGTCAGGTTGTTTGGGAACATCTTGCAACCCTACAATACCATCGCATGCCATTTCAGTCTTTTCTAAATTTGGAACAGTACAGTCGTGTAGCAAAGATAGTTTTATTTTTGTACACTGCTGGAGGCTTCTTTCTGAGTGGATTGTTTGATCGGTTGGAAAATATTTCTCCATGTTGGGGGGAGGAGTTGAAAGCGACCAGTGAGCTCATGTCTGAGGCAACAAGGGGTGGACCAACAGAGAAAAAGGGGCAGAGTCTGCTATTTCCTCTCCACTTTTCAATGTGTCTTTTATTCACCTGCAAGAGCTGGGTATCCCCACCCTGTTCCAACCACACATTAAAAACAGGCACACCCTGCACACTAGCATGAGATGTTTCACACAAACACGCACACCTACATGCATAGCTGAAACAATCAAGAAAACATCCCATCATGCCATCATTCTATTAATGGAGATTTAAATGGAGCACTTATGCAACACAAGCAGGTCCTTCCGTGTATGCATGAGAGACAACATAAGACAACATAAACACATCTGAGAGTGTCAGTGAGTGACGACGCACAAAAAAACAGGCTGATGCCTCTCACAGCTAATCCCGGTATGTAATATGCAAAAGGAGAGCTGGAAAATCATGTTCTCTGCCATTCAGCCCGTTTCCCCTCCCATAATCCTCAGAGTCTGACAGAGGTGTCACCACACTGAGCACGACGTGGCCCCTTAGCAGGACCTTGGCCTTCTTATCAGTGTCCATGAATGTGTGTGTTCACTGGAGAGGACTGTGATAGTCGAGTTGGGCCCCACGGATGTTGCTGCATAGCACAGAGGGAAAGTCCTAATTTCCTGAGTGTGTAATTTGCATAGCAAATAGAAAATTGTTGTGATTTGTGTCCACAACTGTCCCAATCCACACTGCTCAAATACGAAGATGTATCAAAGACAAGGTCAAAGTGAGGTTTTCTATCGGGTTTTTAAATGACTGAAGCTTCTAAAAAACACAATCTGTTTCAGAAACAACATTTGGCGGAAGGGGCTTGAGAGTTTTTAGCAGGACGATGATGTAGGAAAGACATTAAGTATATTACCACGTAATTGTTCATCCTAGGGTGGGAAAAACATGTCAGCGAGAGCACCAGTTAAAATCTGTGTGCTTTCCGTGTTTAAGTTAAAGGAGTGAAGAGAAGGCTAATGCCAGATATTCTTTTCTCAAACAAGATTCAATTAAGCGTCAAAATTAGCTGGTGGTTCTCAAACTATCATCGCATTAAAGTCTATTGATATTATTGTAGAACAGATTAAGAATAAAAAACATGACCTGAAAAATGCATTCAAGTAGTCCTTGAAAAAGAAAGTGTACAACCTCTTCAATATCAGCTTAGGGGAAGGAAAATGTCATTTAAAAGCAGAATACAGCTAAATATATTGATATGTAAAAGAAAATGTGTGAACAAGAGACAGGAAAAAACTATATTCAAGCCGTGCTACACCTTTACATACTCCACCAAAGCTACTTACCATAGAGGGCCTTAGCGCTGATCTTGCTGTCCGATCGGGCCACTCCACTGCAATTACAAGAGGCGGAGGGGACGGGGTTACGCCTGATGCCCTTCATCTTTTCCCCTACACCCCTGGATGTCACTGTCAGAAACCCTCCCACACTGCCGCTTTACATCAACACAGTATCCCACAAAAATATAGAGGCGATATGCGGGGAACCGACTGGCCAGCACTGGATGAGATTAGTCTGCGATCCTGAACATATGGACCAGGGAGAGTGAGAGTGGAAAAGGGAGAGTAGGAGGGGGGAGTAGGGCGCAGGGGGGAGGCTGGAGCACAGGCAAAGCAAACAACTCTCAACAGAGTCTCTCTGTGCCCAAAGTCCCTGACCCAAACCACCTTCCACAAACTGGGTTAGAGATTTCTCTTGTGCCTGCGCAATAGTAATACGGCAGAATGCAATTAGCAAGCACCCAGAAAGGTGAATACCTAGAAGGAAGCCACAGGAATGTGTGTGAAACTCACTTGGCTGGCCTCGACAGAGGTCCTGGGGCACTCATAATTTCAGGCATTCACCTGGAGCAAGAAACAGAAGAAGAACAATGAGAGGAAAACAGCAATTGCCAATGAGAAAAATTTAATCCACACTACATCTTCTACACACCTCGCGATTTGTAAATCCTACATATTTTCTTTTTAATTTGAATCTAAAAAACTCCGTAACAGCTCCACAAATGTAAGGCAATCCTGATTCAACTTGTTTAACAAGTTCTCTGGAACAGCTGTTTTAGATTTATTGCAACAGAAATTAACAAAGAAAACTGCCACATTCATATTAGTTTTGCAACTGAACAGCTTCTTTAAAGACTGTTCTAAGTGCGGGAAACGCTTGAAAAGTCAGCTGGTTTTTGGAAAGGATATTGGTATAGCATCTTTAATCTATCTAAATACAAATAAAATAAAATGAAAAATCAACATTTTCTAATTCAACGCACACAGTTTGTCCTCACCCAGTTCAGTGGGACAGCTGCTGCTTCCCAACATGGGTATTCCCCCGAGAGTGGTTCATAGCCTTACATCAGTCAACCATCAACTCAATGCAGCAAAAGGAGACCCTGGTTCACTGATTTGTGGCAATGGTCAATGTGTAACAGAAAATACAGTTTTCTGATAAAAAACTAAAGATATCTACTGTTAATGGGCCTCATTAACTTAACATTCGCAAGGAAAGAATGAATCTTTAACTAAAATGGTGAAGAAAAAACTGGACACATATAAGACGCTGTTTAAGATTTACAGGAAATTTCCAGAGCCCCAAGGTAAAGCTGTGTTAGCTGCCTTATGAAGGTGTCAGATACGATATGCAAAGCTGAAGTATAAAGTATCACAGCCCCTGTTCATCCACACAGAGCCAGGTGTAGGGCCTGACCTGAACATAGTAAAAGAACCGTGTCAGGACAACAGCAGGCCGATGTGGGAAATTAGATCCATTCTGCCGATGTATCTGCATAACTGGCACTAATTAATCTGATTGGGTTTTTATATACAGACCCACTAACTATTGAATAATTTGTGCCGCCTGAGAAGAAAAAGCTTTGTGTAAGAGCACACTGACTTCAAGTCCGACAGATTAGGGTGAAGAAGAAAAGAGAACAAAGGCCTCCCACACCTCTCCTTCTGTGACTTCAGACTTCAACTTGTCTGTCAGGGCATGCTGCGGCACGTTATGTAATATATATAGTTGTAACTATGGCTTCCCATACCCCGTTTTTGTCCCACAACAGAACCTGGAAAGATGCACTGAATGCACCATTTTATTCCTCTTCCGGTGACTTAATCACGGCATTAAATACTGATAAGCGTTTTTCACTCATGGGTAAAGTGGTGGAGATAATAATCACCTTATGTGACTTTTAGACTTTAAGGAGCCACGTACTACTGTAATGAACCGGTTCAGTTTGCATTATTAATGACAAGTCAGGATAGCGTGTCACCAGAAACAATTTCAAGTTTTCTAGTACAACAAAAACTGATATTAAGTGACATTTTATTGCTTGGTGGAACTGTGAACGTTTCCCCACAAAATAAATAAAAAAGTAGCATTTAATTTCTTAATATTAGACCTTTTCTTTTTTACTAAACATGGCAATATGGTGGACCAGTCAGACTCTATGTGACAGCTTCAGGTGCTTCACTCAAGCTTATCTCACTGCAGATCATAAAAATAACCAGCTTAGAAAGATAATCTTCTCAAGTCTTCTGAAACAAAGTGAGGGCAAATCAAAACAGGTCTCACAGGATGAACCACTGAATGGCTGCTCCCAGGCTGAACGCTTCCACAACCGACCGTATTTACTTCACTTTTAGTGAAATCTGCAGAAACGACAGACTTCCTCTTCCAGCTCTTATCTTTCTGGTCATCTCCTGTTCTTGCCTTTGTTCGCAGCCCTGGCCTGCTGCCAGGTTTCAGGAGGCAGACAGGCTTGAGGACAACAGACTGGGTGTCATGTGTTGTTAACCTCACGGCACACAGCCATCTGCACACCTCCATTCAGAATTATGACTTCTTTTGCAGAGAAAATAACCCAGCATGAGCCCTATCCCTCATTGGAAATGTGTTGCAGACGTTTATTGTATTTAAATCTTCTCTACTATCAAGTCTACCAGACTGCTTGAATTTCCGTGTCAATATTGATTTTATTTGTATACATTTTTCAGATTAAGATACTGTACTGTACTGACTATATGTACACATTCTAGCAATGACCTGAGCATGTTTTCCAGCCTTGCAAAGTTCCCTCTATGCTTTTGGAGGCAGGCAGTCTGTTGTCATAGTAGTTTCTAGCCTGAACCTTGTAAAACTGCCGTGACAGAAAAAAACCCACAAAAAAAAAACAAATAAACTCTACGCAAAGTGTAAATCCTTGCACGTCTTTTAAATAATTATTTTTAATAACCAGCAAATAAAAAAATGATAATTTTGTAATTTGTTTAGAAGCACTAGCTCACATTGATCACCATTTGAAACAAAAGCGAAACACCCATGGTGACGTACTTAACCCTTTTGGATTAAGTCTTCAACCAAAAAGACGTAAAAACTCAAGGCGGCAACACATTAAATGTGTGTATATCAGTACATATCAAGATAGCTGAAGCTTTACAGGATGGTGTCACCGGGTTAATGTATGGAAAAATATGTGGGCATAGCATTACATGAGCAGTATGGACTTTACCCTCTGCCTCTTGAAAAATCACTTAAAAGATAAGACATATCTGATTTTAGACTTACGATGCCTTTTAAATGAATCACCACATGCTGTGAGGGCTGATTATGAGGGAGCTGTTAAAAAACACTGACAGGGGCCACCAGCATCCCTCAGTTTGCTGTTTGTGTGTAGTGTGACATCACACTCCTCTGACTGTGGAGCCGAACATTGTAATGAAGGCAGTGTGTGACATCACATAAGGTGTGAAGGAGGTACGGTGTTATGAAGCAAAACACAGCAAAGATTCAGACGAAATGTTATGAAATGTCATTTGCCCCATACTGCTGTGTCATACAATTCAGACAGCAAAGAGCACTTGACACAGTCCAATTTCCTTAAATACATGAGTTAAATGAAATAGTTCTTTGGTAGATTTATGGCTGTGTAGAAAACTTTTGTTCATATTTGGTTATCTGAGAAATTGGCTTTATGAAAACAAAACAAATCTTGAAAAAGAAGAGTAAAGCCTTATCCAGTACATCCAAAAGATTATCAGCGGGGTTGAGGTCTGGAGTTAAATAAACTGAGCCACATACATCCTGGCATCCGTTTCTCATGTGAGCAGTGTGTGTTCATCATGTGTACTTGGCTGAGAATAAAAAGCAAGCAATTCTTCAAACTTAATTACTTTATTATTTTGCTGCTCATGCATAAAGCTATTGTGACTAAAAATGACAACCTGTCATACACTTAGGCACATGGAGATCACATGCTTTTTAGACTGATTACACAGGCAGCAGCTCCCAGGGCCAGTTTTTCTGATTAAATGTAGGCCAGTGGATTATGACCGTCTTCCCTTTGTGCAAACATCCATTTTCAGAATAAACAAAGGCTGACATGTAAAGCCTGAATGATGTACGTAAATCTACTGGGCATGCACCAGTGACCAGTCCGGCTTTTATTCAGACCAGTCAAGCCAAATGTGACCCCTCCACACCTGACATGAAGCCTCACGTGGCTCCTGACTGAAGCATGCAGATTCATAACGTGAACTAGTCAGTCTGAAGATGTAATCCCGGTTAAACAGTAAGATTTGAGAGAGCAAAGAATTATCAGTTTAAGGAGCCCAAGATCACCAAAGATCACGTGAGAATGCTCTGGAGCAGCCTGAGCCAAACCTGCCAGGTTCTTCTTTGATTTGGGGGCCCTGTGGACCCACTCCTGCGCACCGGGGGAAGGATGCCAAACAACACGCCGCCAAACAACACAAAACTTCTCTCTGCCACGTCTCGGGGACTTACAGCTGTGTTTTTCCGAAGCAGATGCTCAGTCAGACAGCGCCCCAAACATCAGCCCGTCATTCCAGCCCGTCCGCACTCTGCTCCACCGGGAAAACGCGCGATCTGACCGGGACGGAGGCAATAAACACCAGCCGTGGGCCGTCAGTTCTCAGAAACGCGGCAGCTGAGGAGGAGGAGGAGGAGGAGGAGGAGGCGCCGGCTGGCGAGTGCGCAGGTAACTCTATCTGAGGAGGAGGAGGAGGAGGAGGAGGAGGAGGAGCCCTCACCTGGACGCCCCGCAGATGCAGGAGCGGCTCGCACTTCAGACAGGACACTTGGAACACATGTTGGTGATGTAACCCCCTCGATCATCAACACAGAAGGATTTTAAATCAAAGGTCGACCGGTGTCCTGGTGTTTCTACCATTTCTGCCCAGATCGGGCTGCCTACTTTCATATCTACAGCATTAGAATACTTTTTTTTTTTAAAGGCAAGAGAAGTTTATTTTTCCTCTCTTGCAAAACATCTTCAAAATATTAGTGTGACACCCTAAACAAGTCAAACCCACTGTTTGTAAAGCAAAAAGCCGGTCCTAACTAGTTGAATGAGTCATGTTGGCAGACTGACAGGGGAGTAAGAGGAGAGCAGCACTGCCCAGGTCTCAGTGACACTGTGGTGAGAGTGACCACTTTGTCTGACCAGGGCTCCTGCAGAGAGCATCCTTAATCAGCATTAAAGGGACGAAACAGGAATGTTTTGTAGACTTTGGCTGAGTGGGCCGGGCGGTTGCTCAAGCAGGGGCGGTCTGAGGTGTGATTTGTTTGGAGCTGTTTACTTTGGTAACCTTTCTACTGGGTTTGATTATTAACCTAACCTCAGCTGTCAGGGCTGAAAAATCACCTGTTTGAGAAAAGCAGAGCTGGAAATGACTAACAGACCAGCCCTGAAAAAGCGCAGACATATGGGACTGATACAAAAGGAGGCAGCCGAAAGAAAGATATGTTATCAGATTCATTTTGAACTTGTGATTTGGGAGGTGTGAAAACACAGGACTGGTAAGGAATGTGATTTCCTTATGGGAAAAAGTGACCTCTGCCCAGTAATGACTAACATATAAAAACAACAACAACAAAAAAAACTGCAACAGTCTGACTCCTCATGCATTTCAAACATGAGTTGAAATCGAATTATTTTAATCAAAACCACTCTGCCCTCTAATGGACAAAACTTGAACATGAAATATGTAAAAGAGATCCATATTCTCAGAAATAAAAAACGTCAGAAGTCTGTCATGCCAGCATACAGGGATCAAACTGTTCTAATGGCTAGCTCAGCATTATAATCAGATAATTCCTTTTAAAAAAACAAGTTAGGATTGTCCATTAACTCTCAATAAATCAAAGAGTTTTTTTTCCTGACTGATTTTTCTTTTAGTCTTCAAAAATGTAGACTTGCTGGTTCCGCTGTACCCACAAAGATGATGAAGGAAGCTCTTCTTCATGAATAGACACTGAAAAATAGGAAGTAGAAATATCTGTTATTGTATTGAACTGCATCTTAAAATGCATGTGCCAAGCATTTCTCATACAAAGCAACAAATCATCCCACATGCAGACAAGATTTTGATCTCAGATTTCCTCCCCAGTGATTTGTTTTTTGGGTCAAGCGCAGCAGACAATAACTTCAGAACAGATGAATAGGTTGTGATCTGTGGATGCGTCTTGGAAGGAAAATTCCAGGATGCAACAACGGCGTCCAAGGTCTACAGTATCACTTAAATGAATGCAATCCATATCAATAATTCAGACTCGTCCTAAAAGGAAACAGAGCTTATTTCATTCATGAACAATAGCAAGAACAAAGGAAAAGCTCACTGCCGTCAGGCTTATCAAAAACAAGCATTTGAGAAGCTACTTACGTCAACATATCTTGTCAATCAAAACAAATGGAGCATCAAGTGTTTGCTCTGTTTGTCACCGGATACTTTTAATAACTGGACTTCAGATGTTTGTGTTTGCATGTGTGCAGGCCAACCGAGGCCCTTCTTCTGTCAGCATTTCTGGTTTCAACGTCTCAGGGCCTCATTTTGCTTTTAAACACCGCAACAGACTGGATTTCTAGATTTGTTTTTATTCTTTTAGATTTTTGAGGCAGAGGCCGGATGACTCAGCTCAGGCTGTTGTAGACAGATCCTTGCTCACTGGATGAGCAGGTTGCTGGGTTCAGGATATAGTGAATCCAAGGAGCTGCCTGCAGTTTGATCACAGGGTCACAGACTCAATTACAGCTTTGTTTTTTGTCATTCGGTGAAGGAAACTTTAACATTTCCTCATCTGTTTCACGTCAACTGCTTGCTCAACCCAGTTCAGGGTCTGTGGGAGGCTCTAGCTTATCCCAGCTCACACCCAGCCCCACCGGGTGAGCGCCCATGCACAGGTCCCCAGTCAGTCACAGACTAAATGAACATCTTTGAGACTGACACAGCAGCGTGAAAACTATGGAAAGCAGATCCCACCTGGCGAATCGAGCCAGCGTGCTGAGCGCGAGGACTCCGTCCAAGCCGTAGACAGCCAGTAAGACGCTGCAGAAGATCACGTCCGCTCGCAGCACGTAGGTCTGCCACACCAGGAAGTAGACCGTCAACAGGACAGTTGTCACCGTAACCATGAGGTTACCCACTATGTAGACCTCGCTCTCCGTCAGGTTCCCCTTCACACCTGCAGACGAGGGCAGACGGACACGTAGTCAGTTTACTGACAACTATCCTTTTCAGAGCAACTCAACACAAATCAATAGCGCTTTATTTTAAGGGGTGTTGGTTTTAATATCATACGTCCTCATTCAACCCCAAAATCAAGTCTTAAGTTTCACTTTCTACAGCAATAAAAACAAAGTTGGAAAGATGAACTTTTAGCCTTTATACTCTTATCAATTAATGTCAGGTTTAGATTAAACATTAAATCATCGTGTCATGTGACAACTTACCCAAAGGAAAAACATTGTTATACTGTATCTACTTAAGTTGCTTTGGATAAAAGTGTCTGCTAAATGCAGAAACATAAACATATAAGATAGAAAAAACAAAAGTTGTTAGATATGTCTACATTAATATCAATAATACAAGCCATACATTAAAAACAGTGGACACATTTTTATGAGTAAATGCAGATTTTTTCTTCCAAAAAACACAAATATATATTTTAATAGTGACTATTTACACATTTAGAATATGACTGAACTAGTATGATGATGAAAGACGTGACTGCACATGTAAAATGTCTATATATTCATCCACTATAAAAACTATTTAGAACGCATGCTCCTCAAGTTAAAGCTATTTCTGACACCTTTTATTAGCTTTAACAGCTCATCTAAAGAGGACATCTGTGTTTCCTCACCGAAGAAGAAGTGGAGACCCTGCAGAGCAGCCAGGAGGAAGAGGAGGGCCACATCACAGGCCAGAGCGTCCAGGGGATAGGACAGCAGCAGGCCTGGAAGCAGAGCAGACACTCACTGACCACTGGTGCCCAACAAACCTGGAACCGGACCTCACAGGAGAGGAGGGAGGCATCCCTCACTCTTTCTGATGATCAGACCCAGGGTGAAGAGGAAGAAGAAGGCGAAGTAGACGCTGGTGAGGCTGAGCAGCAGCTGCAGGGGGACGGAGGACAGCTGCCAGCAGGGTTAAGGACCAACACCATCCCTGTCCCACGGCTCATTTTAAGACCATCGAAGCACATTTGAATCGGTGGAAAAGGATACGAGACCCGTAGACCTCCCTGCAGACAGAAAGAAAACACAGCTAACTGACCACAGTCAAACCAAGAGCCATAAAGATCGCTATAAAGTGTGTCTGAGCTAAATAATAGTGCACGACTTTGTGAAATGAGTTTAGATCTAAAGCGTGTCTATAACCATAGCAACGCGTCCACTACCTGGTCCCTGGATCGCCATTTTGAGCTTCCTCTCTTAAACATTTACACAAGAATGTCTCCCCCTGCTGGCTGGAAGATGAACTAAACGTGTTTAATGTGGAGGAAAAGCGTATGGACAATAAAGACAAACTAACAAGTGATGCTGAGACCTGAATGAATAAATAAAAAGAAATGTTACAGGTGTATAAGATCTATAAAATTATAGTCCTTCATGCCATTGTACAATTCCAATGTGAATAATCCATCATTCATTACAGTGGAAAACATGGACACTACATACGAGTCACTGGTGTTGTTTTCACCTTTTTCTCAATCAAATTACTTCCACTGTCAATAAAACTAAAAAGGAATAATATTGGTGTGTATTAAGTGTTACCTCTCCCCTGTCTGAGTATATAATGTTGTGTTATTTTTAAAAAAAATTAAGAACCCAACCAAGCCATGTACAATTAATTCTTTATTTCTCTCTTTCAGGACCCCAATTCCACTAAACGTTGAAGTCTTTCCAGCCATATAAAAACTGTAAACAGCATTCAGAGTTCATAGGATGATCACCTGTCTGGTATCCAATATAAAACATCTGGCACCAAGGCGCCCATACAGAAGAATTAAGTTAAACAGACAAGTTTGAAAGCAGAACAAAATACAGATTGAACATTGATTTTGACAATGTTGCTTGTTACTGATGAGCATTTTTTTTTTTTTTCTGAGCTGTGACCTTTAACTGTAACATGGAGCCAAGCATAGCTTAATGAGGCTCGGTTTACATGGGAGGAGTGATTATATGACTTATTCAGCAGGGTTCACACCTACACGCAGCATTGGAGATGAGCACACTGCTCACCCATATACAAATATACAGTTACACGGCTATATGAGAAAAGAAATACAGAAAAGCAAAATGAACTGCTTTAACATAGCCAGCTGTTTCATTGTCCCCTGCGCCCTCGATCTGTTTCTTTTTCTCGCTTGTCCTCTGAAACAATCTGCATAGTGTGGCTGGAAGAACAGAGGCGTTGTTTGGGTTGAATGGAGGGAAAGCAGGGGGGTGGGGGGGTGGAGAGCGAGATGCTCCAGCTGTGGGGGGACAAGACAACACAACAGCATCTCACATGTGGGTGGAGGGGAGGGAGGGGGCGTGTGTCCAGGCCGTGGGGGCTGCACACAGTGGCATTGTTATAAGGGGGGGTTGGATGCAGCTGATAAGGTTGAGAGAAATGGATCATTCCCTTAAATCCTTCCATTGGGAAGCCTGGACACAAAACACTCCCGTTTCATTACAGTTATCTAAGTTCAACAAATTCAGAGTTTTTTTTATTGGGAAGAGATGTCAATTTTTAAGTTTACTGCACATCAAAGTTGAAGTGGATAATCGAGGGAACAAATAATTTGCTTATAAAATCCTGAACCATCAGATTTAAAAACTATACTGTGAAAGAGTTTTAAACCTAGTTTCTGTTTCCTCAATTAGGTTTTTGAGCTGTTTAAGAAAAAAAATCAAAGAGCAACAAAGACTAAATCCATGTTACATGGCAAAGAGATTTAACATGTGTCAGAACAAAACAGAAAGACAGCAGTGAGTAAGACATTTTACGTCATGACTGATGGGAACTGCTGTGGCTGTAATCATGTCAGGATTCAGTTCAGATTTCTTTTGTGAGTGAAAACTAAAATACCACTAAAATATTGCCTCTATTGCTAATAATTTCTCTTTTCTGTCTTGTCATATTTTAAATGATATTTGATCATATTTTTCTGCTTCAAACCTTCAATGTTTTCAATCTCTGTGGTCATTCTTGATATCTGGAGTTATTTTCTGCCAGTTCCTGTTCAATTTGGATTTCTTTTTCAATATTTGAGAACTTTCATTTCTCATCTAGGTTATTTTCCATTTTTTAAAGCCATACTATACCGTACAATTGGTTCCATTTGAAATATTGTGTTTTTCCACCTCTGTCAATACTTATTTCTACTCTCATTCTAGTTTTTTGTCAATCTCTCACGTGTACAGAATGATTTTCAGGAACAACAACAGTCCACCTTTAACAGCAACCCCCTAGAACACTGTTAATGGCTTGTACAACTTTATCTGAAACTTTAATAATCACCTTTGTTTTAGTCACAAATGTAATAAAAGAACATACAGGAACTGGCTGTGATTTCTAATTAGCTAATTAAATGCAGACACAATGTATGAAACTCCCAACTCCCAACCAATATCGAGACGATATCAAGACATATTAGATTCAATTCGACGATGGGAAAATAGCAGCAACACATTCGAACAAATTAAACGAGCTGGAGGCAGAAAACACTTTGATTGAGGAAACAACTGCCTTTCCATCATCTAATGTGAGAAAAATGTTTTTATTTCAGCCTCACAACGGAGGTCAAATAAAACATTTGAAAAAAGATAGTAAAAAGTAACCTAATTCAGAGTATTTGGAGCCGTTTGAGCGTCTTTTCCGGGGACGGCGCACATCCCTCACCTGCTGCCCGCGCCTCTCTGCTGCCACACACACCCTGTCTGAGAGGCAGAGGCAGAGGAGCAACACAAGCAACTTGGCGGACTCCCGGAATCTCCTCTAAGCAAATGAAGTCACCTTTTCTTTAGCCTTCGACTTATTTCGCCACCGATTTTTGCCACTTTTCCCTTCCAGCAAGTGCGTCTGAGTAAGAAACCTGAAGTTTGTTCTAAAGTTTGTGGGAGCTGAGGTGAGGTGAGGCTGCGCCTAAGTGGACATTTTTAAAAGCCTGCAGTCTTGTCAACTTTTTTTTTTTTTTTAAGGAAAATTTAATTGAAATAATAACAGCTGACAGCCTGGCGTTAGTTTATGTATTTTGGGGCAAAAAGGGACATCTATTTTTCGTGCCAAATACCTCGAACAAAAGAAAGAATTTCAACGCACGCGGTGGATTCATGAGAAGTGCAACTAAGCCAAATTGGTTGTAATCTGGATTCCGTGATGTATATGTGAAAGTTTTCCCCCATCCGAATTGATTTCGTTCGGACAAGGGGAGACTTTCATGGATTTTTTATGCGGGACCCGCTAGGATGGACGTGGTAGATGAAACAGAAGCTTTACAGAGATTTTTTGAAGGTAAGAACTTCTGATTATCATACTGGCCTTTCTTCTTTTTTATTTCTGTTTTGAAATGGACAGAATCTCCATATACACACACATGAATAAAGATAATTTTACAGATGACCATCAGATGAAAACAACATTTTGAAAACTTTTACGAAGTTTTAAACAAATTTTTTCATACTAAAAATGGGTTTTCAGGTGTTTTCTCTTGCCAGTGTTCAAAATGACTGAGGACAAGGCAGGTGGTTTGCGTATTAAGACAGTTTAGCTGTGATCTCATAGATCTGTTGGGTTTCAGAACAACATCTCCCCAAACAGAAATCATTTGTAAGATTTCTTTTTTCACGAAAAAAAATCTAAAACTGCTGGAATTCAGAGAGGTTACTGGGTGCGGGGAGCAAAGTGCTGGTGATGGGTAACAGATCTCGTTAAAGTGGGAATCCTCGGGAAAGAGAAAAAAAGAATTGGTGGAGGAGGGTGGGGCTAAGGGGTGCAGGAATTCAAGTTAAGATAAATGGTGTGTTTTGCAAGTTCTGTGGCACAATGTGTGAGCAATGTTATGATGAGAGTCATCTTTCTACATGTTTTCCCTGCACGTTTAATCTTTTTTAGCAACAATTTGCTTTGCCTTTTGAGTCTCACATCACACATCAGAGTAATGTCGTTGTGCATTATGTGATGATTTAATCTATAATTTCTGTTTGACTGAGTAAAGACCTGTGTTTTTTACAGGAGCAGGTGCACATAAAAGCCAAAGTGCCCAAGAAGCTATCAGAGATGATAATTAGCACGACATCATAGTATATACTGAGTGCTGACTTGAATATACAGAGCCATCCATGACTGTCAAAGGTTCCTTGCAGTTCTGACAGGAATTTAGTATGTTTACATTCTTGCTTTGGGAGTAAGAGAGACTTTCTTACTTTGGCATTATTTCAGTGATTCTCACTTGGAATAAAATGTCAGCTTGTCCATGAGAGATGCACAGTAGAGCTTATTTTCCAGGTTTATTTATTTATCATCTATCCATTCATTTTCTATACTGCTTCTGCCTTACCCAGCAAACAAAGGGTGAGAGGCGGGGTGGACCCTGGACAGGTCACCAGTCCGTTGCAGTTTATTTCCGCATTTATCATCATAATTTACCCTGTAGTTGCACAATTTTCTACCTTACTTCTAGATTGGTGATTTAAAAAAAGACAGTTTTGTGGAGCTCCGTCGACAGGGAAAATCAAAATAAGTTATAGACGTTCATGTGCGCATAACTTACTCATGGATGACTGAGATAGATTTCAGCTATATGTGTTTTATTAGGATTAGTGAGCAATGCATAGGTTCCCGTTAATGCACATTCCTGGCATAGTCCTGGTGGCTGTTAAAACACCATGAGGTGAGGCTGGTGTTTCTCCCTGGGTCTTTGGCCTCTCACTCTGGCCCTCTCTGACTCCATTATGGTGACAGTGAGCAGACAGGGTGAGGAAGTGAGATAGTGCAGATGCAGGGTGGGGAGAGACCAGCCTGCTGAGAGAAGTCAACCACCAACCCCCTCAAAACTTGACCTTCTCCTCTCTGACCATCTCACACCGTGAACATTAGCGCACACAAAGCCAGAGACTTCACAGTCCCACCACAGTATCACAGCATGATTCAAGTCATCATAAGATGACCAAAGACTTGATTAAATGATAAGAAGCTATGCTTGTGCTGCATCTCTCTGCCTTGTGAGGTTTGGCCTAAACACTCCAGATGCAGCACAGGTTAGGCTCTCCATTAAAAGCACCATGCCAGTGTTTTATCACTGTATTGTTTATCTATTAGAGTTGATAATTATTTAACCTATTCACAGAGACATTTATTCACAGAGACAAATTAATTTTGATAGACATTCTATTAACTGTCAAGACAAAGAGATTCTCGCAACACGATCAGATTAATCATTCGTTAAAAGTTCATTTCAGAGGGAGAACCAGTTGTAACACAATGTTCTGCATTTTCCATAGTGTTGGGGATTCCACCAGTTTTCATATTGAAAAAGATTTTCTTTAAAAATTTGATTTAAAAAAAGATTTGACCAAAAATTGGTAGCAGTGAATCATCTAGCCATGAATGCCTGTTCATGTCACGGCAACAGGCCCAACTGTTTTAAAGAAAAGGAGAAGCCAAGAACAGAGGTTATTCTTTGATCAAAATGGGGAAAATTTGATGAACTGGAATTCCAACTCCTGTACTCCCTCAGCTGTGAATAATGAATGGGAAGTTTGGGATGTAGTGGTCCATGATTGAACACCTGTGTAAAGCCGACAAAGTTGAGCCGCTTGCTCTGATTAATGGACTCAGCACAAAGGTGCTGTTCCAGGAGGGAATTGTTTCTGAGCAGCCAGGCTTCTTGTGCTTCACTCCTTATTGTCAACTCTTTAGGATTTCTACCTCGTTATTTCTATGAAAGCATTCAATGTCTTCAAAACTGATAAGAAACATTCAAAATAAAAATGAAAAATGTCTATGAAATGCAACATTCTTATGAGAAGGTCTGGAAACAGCTTTAATGACTGAGAGCAGCCCCGACCAATGAGTGCAGATGCTTCATACTGTTATCAGTCTGAGATGTTTTCACTAGAAAGACAGACCAAAAAGAAATGCTGCGGTAAAGTTTTTGTTTAGAAACAGTTTGTTTCTTCACCTCCAATTCTGTGGCTGCGGGTCTGATTGTGTCCCGTTCTGCCCCTCCTTCTTTTTCCCATTCTCCTCTTCTTGCACCGTACTGGCCAGAAACTCAGCCTCAAATTTGCGGCGTACCTCGCTGAGTCCCCGTCACGGCCTTTTTTCTGCCGTAATCTCCCTGAGCCATGTCCGACCGGTGCGACCAGTGTGCGACAAGGGCTGTGTGTGGTAGCCTGGTACAGCCCTTTCTCATGACTTGGGAATAATCCTCATTAGAACACTCTCTTACTCACCCGCACACATACCCAGTATCTTTAGCACATAGGAATGTAAGCACAAACACACACACATTTCTTACCCTGATCTGTGGCTCCGGTCTAGAGAAGAAAGTTTCTGCGCCCAAGTGGGGAAACATGTGAAAAATAAGACGGGAATCGTTGCTCTCATCTTCTGTTTCAGGTGTTGTCATCTCAAGAACTTCAACATGCTTTGGCTCCGTGCAGGTACTCTGTGCTGCTCTGTCTGCTCTGCTTCTGCGTAGATCTGATTTATTTTAGTCCCTATCAGCTGAGGGACTCTCTGTTCACATTGATTTTTAATATCTGTCTCATTTGTTGTGACAACAAATAGATTTTATCCGCCACTCTCTGACTGTGTCAGGCCTGTCTAACTTGTACAATGTGAAGATGTGACATATTCTTCTTTCTTCAATTTTTGACATTTATTGACTGGAACAGATTGTACAATGGAGATATCTGTCAGCATGTGTCTAGACATTTTAGAGATCAGCTGAGATGTTTGCTTGTCGACAACGTCTTATTTAAAGGATATGTGTGTCTGGGCCCAGTGCAAAATAAGTAGAGAGCAACCTTAAAATCAAGCTTAGTTTTAAAGACTAAATCAAAGGGAATACATGATGCTTTTACTTCCTGTAGTCAACATCTGATTATTGGCGGACTGTTTCTGTTTTAATTTATTTATGTGCTGACTTCAACTTTATGGCAGCGGAATGCACAAGACGCAAGTTTGTTACGATCTATTTGTTGTCAAATGGACTTTATTCTCTCTTAATTCACCCACATTGAAGGTTTAAACTATCATCATACAGATGTAAATGCATCAGAATCTTATTTGGTTAAAAGAAAACAAATTGAAGAACGTTCACAACAGGAAGAGATCATGCTCAAGTTCAACCCCCGTGTGTTTTAGACTGTCAGATGGATTAAAAAGTGTATACGAGCTGTGAAAGTAGATTGTTAAGTTGGTTTTGTTTGTTTCGTGTGAAGTGTCATTACAATCTTTGCAGCCTGGCACCCATATACGCTCAGTTTGGAATAGCGAAAACATAAGCAACTGAGGAGGATTTCATGCCCCAGAAGAAACAGAGGCTGCATAGATGTGTGAACTGAAAGGCAGCATAGCAGACTCACCGTATAGACAATAAATACGACAAATATTTATGTTGCATGTTATATGACGATTATGTGATGACAAAAGAACTGAGTCATGTGATCCTCTCACTGAAGGAGACAAGAACAACATTATTCCTGAAGGTGAAACTGTGTACTTTATTCAATGATATTAGTCTAATAATGTTTATCAGGCACACACACACACACATACACACACACACACACACACACACACACACACACACACACACACTGTCCCCTATGTTACAACACAGCTATTGAAATGATGGAATAACACACGCACACTCACAAACATGAGTGTGCTCACACAGATAGAAGCGCACTCACACACACACACACACACACACACACACACACACTCCCCCCTCAGTTCCTAATCTTTCCAAAGGCGAGTCTGTATCGAAGACGGACTGACAATCATTTCACTGTTCCTCGCTGAACACAGCTGGACACAGAAAAACATAGAGGAGAGGGAGATTTACACATTCGGTTCTCAGCAAGTTGAGATTCGGTGATGGGGAGGATACAAGTGATTTATTTATGTTTCTGTTCATCTTCACCCCACCCACGAGTAACACTGAGACAACTTTCAGTACTTTTTGTGAGAGAAACACAGCTAATCGTGATACATCCTGAAAAGTGAACACAAAGAGATTGTATCCCTTTTTAATGATTTACCTCATAACCTGTGTACAGGTGATTTCTTAATGGAAGTCTTTGTCCTGATTGGTCTCTTATGTGTTGATTTTTCACATCCACCTGACTTCTAAGTTAGATTTGTATATATTTTAGTCCTGCACCCCTCTCGTATGATTTGTCGTATGACACTGCATGAACTACTTTAAACTTTGTCCAAACAATCCTCTTGGGATTTGTTTTTACGAGAGTTTCCACTGACATTTGAACAGATCAGCAGTGGCGATAGAAACCAAACTGACTCAACAGTCTCAAAGCAGCTGAAGTTTAGGAACAGTAATGATCAGCAGTTTCTTTCCACAAGTGCCAGCCTCTAATTTCTTTTAATGGGTTTTGGATTCTTCTAGTGTGATGAGGTTTCAAGAAGACTCTGGAGGGTATCCATTTGCCTCTAGATTCTAAACTTACTATGTTTAGAATTTAGACAAAGTTTGAGAAGGACTACAAAAACACACAGCGTTATGTTCATTGGTCAGCTGTCCAGTGATAACTTTCCTGGTATGGTTAATCGGTGTGCCTCTTGTGAAGCTGTTTGCAAAGTAAAAAGCTCTCGTTACATTGACCCTTCATGCTCAGGACCTGTTAGTGGACAGAAAAAGTTAGATGCTAATAATTGAGCATGTTAAAGCAACAACACAGATTTTTCCCAGGACTGTTAGAAATAAGACAAACTGCAGCAGGTTAGACTTAATGAGGGATGTAGAAACCCATGACTAACTGAGTACTAAAAAAAGCATTTACTTGCTGTATCAGCCATATCTGTATCAGCTGTATCACAGTTGAGCTAATTTCTTTAACTCGAAAACCTCCAAGAGGTTATTGCAGGTTCATGTTTACGAGCATAAACCATAAACCAGAAATTTTTAATATTTTGGATATTGTATTTCTAAATGTGTAAACAGAGTGTCAACAAGCCATATTTCCATGGTAACTGGGCTCTTATGAGACACTAACTGAATTGTTTGACAGTTAAAAGAACTTGTGAGGTATTGTTTGTTGGCTGGTAAGTCCAGCATTGGTGGAATACTCAATTACTTGTGAAATAGCCCAATAGATTGGTGTAGACTAAAAATGCTAGATAAATACATGTATTAATACCAACAATATTTTTTTAAACTATGGCTGTGTTTTGGTTATTTTATCTTTCCTTCATTTTCTTAGATTGGATTGTTCTTCTATCCTTCTGTCCTGGGGCATCAAGCTTTCATTCTGCCTTACATGCCGCAGCTCAACTGTGGCTCCTCATTCCCCATATCTCTCTATTTTCTGTTATCAGGCCTGCCAGCTTAAATTTACTGCTTCTTTAGGTGGGGTTCACATCTGGATCTTATTTTAGGGGAACCATCCTGTTTTTTTACTCTTACACTGGCATGCATCAAGAGACATTAACCAGCTGTTTCTCTCTAATGAAAGAAGACAGTCTTTCTTCATCAAAATGGTACCATTCAAATTTACAATGTGAAACAATAGATCTAGTTTAATTAGTTTCAGACAAGTGGTTTATCCTGCTGTATTTTGTCAACTGTGTGTTTGGATGTGACAAAGTGCTCACTGTTCACAAGATAACATAGTCCATTAGTCTGCTTCCCGGCAAACAGTAGAAATCTACGGTGAAGGTTCATAGCATTAAGTGACATTTGTGATGAGTTTCTGATAGTGGTTAGTGGCCAATTTTTTTAAAAGGTAAAAGGTTACATTTTTCTTATGCTAACACAAAAATTCCTCACATTCCCAACAGAGTAGCTGCTTAATCTATCAGAAGAGGTGTGTGTGTGTGTGTGTGTCTGAGTGTTAAAAGTAAAAAGACTAGGGGTGCCTGCCCACCCACTTAAAACTGGGTTGCTTCCCTTTCTTATCCCCTCGACACTGCTTTGTTCATGTGCATTTTGAGACAACTAAACACTTTACAGAAACTCCCCACTCTAAAATAACATTTGCATTGCATTTGCAAGTGCTCTCTGTATCATTTTGATTTAATTTTGTCTAAATATATATGTAAGCAGGTGTTGATTCTACATGTCTGTGTTTTAAAGATTAGGAGGGGTCATGTGTTTGGGATTTGTGAGGCTTTGCCTATCAAAGGCTGAAAATGACCCAGGGTGAATAAAGTGGAGGATTTGGAAATTATTCAACTACTTGCTCATATGAATAACTATACATAAACTGTTAAGATAAATGGAACCAAAAATTATGCATTTAATTAAATATTTCATGATACACAGTTAAGGTCAGGAATAAAAAATTGTGACAAGACAACACAGTCTAGTAATTAAAACATGTCCTTTTTTTTAAATAAAAATGGAAAATGTTTCTGTGGAGCATTTACGTCTCCAAAGACTGGAGTGATTCCAATGTATATGTGTAACCAGTTAGGTGCCCTGAATCATCAGCATGACCACCACATCCTTCGACTATTGGTCACTCCAGAAAGTTTAATCTATTACATCTGTGGGCCAATCAAAACTCTGGAACATGATCCTCATTACACGTTCAGTAAAAGATAATGTCATCTTATGATATAAATACATCAATGTACTGTAATCAGCAAGCTACATTCTTAAAGATACATGTAATTAGTCCTCCAGAGAATTGTTACAACACTAGCTTGTGTTGAAACCTCAGTTGCTGTGGCCCTGTGTGGAGCTGCTGAAAGATTCCTCTTGCTAATCCCCAGATGCTCTCCATCTCCTTCTGTGTTCCCAACCCTCCCTTCTTCACAGGTCATGATATTACCAGCTCTCTGGAGCCAGCCAACATTGACACCAGTATCCTGGAAGAGTACATCAGCAAAGAGGACGATAGCACTGACATGTCAGTAGGGACTCCACAACGTCAAAACAGCATGCACCCACCAAAGCAGTCATGTCTTTACAAAGGAATTTGTTTTTACTGATAAGGCTAATCCCTTTTTTTCTTTTTCTTTTTTCCCCCCAGCTGCTTCTCAGAGGTCCACAGCACCCCAGGACCAAATTATTCATCTCCCCAGGCAGGAGTGTCCTCCTCTGGAGGATTGGTGTGTGGTGTGAGCCCCCCTATTCCACTTCGCCAAGGAGCCCCTCCACCTGGGCCCCCTAGCTGTCAGAACGCCTACCCTCAGGGTCCAGCTCTGGGCCTTCGACACAACTACCCTTGTCTGGGACAGCAGCAGCAGCCCCAACAGCATCAGCAACAGGGTCACGCCAAGCCAGAGCACAGGGGCCACTACGCTCCAGGGTGAGAACAGTTGGTCGGCTGTAAAGGGTAAAGAAAGTCACATTTAATATAGGATTATGTTTAGGTTAAGCCAGTGTTTCCCAACCCTGGTGCTCAAGGCACACATGTTTGTCAAGGTTCAATAGGGACAGCCCTCCAGCAGAAGACTGATGAAGACCCATTCATTTGGACCAGGTGTGATGGACCAGGAAAACAGTGGTTCGGGGGATGCAATAAAAGTCACACATCACAACTAATCTGGACAAATAAACTGTGGGCTAGTCACAAGGTTGAGGGGGACTAATGAAAGAGATATAGTGAAAATGTAAACACTGACACTCTGAAAAAGATGTTTGATTTTCTGCGTAAATTCTTTGTAAAAAGTGTCATCCCAAAGGAGAATCCCATTCAAATATGATGATTGCAATTATATTTATTAGTTTTCTTATAAACTAAACATCCTGTGCCTTTTGTTGTTTTTTTTTGCTTCCTTTTTTGTAATAACATTTTTAGGACATTACCTGAGTCCCCCCCAGACTCCAGCTCTGAGCCGTACTCTCCTCAACAGGTGAATGGTGAGTGAAACTGTAATATGAAAAATGAACCCACTAAGTAGAAGTTCAGTAGGATGTGGGTCTCTGCAAGAACTCAGGTTATGTTGATGATCTGTTACTCATCATGTGTTGCTGTTTGACAAAACGTAAAGATATGTAGAAAGTTAACACATATATGAAGAGGCCAGAGGAAAAGATAATAATCAAGGATTTCAGGGGCCTCCCTGAATGATAAAATACATGTTTGACTTACTTTAAGAGACATACTGTACAAAAACTGCACATACTATTATTTTTCGTGTTATTGTTGCCACTTACTCCCCTGTATTACTCTTGCCAGTTTGAAAAAATGTACAGAATAATGTTATCAGATGGGAGTCTCTGTCCTGTGATACCTCTGTGATTTACTTTCAGCCATGGTCAGAGAAAAGTGGTTTCAAGGTTAGCAGATATATTTAAAACAGACAGGCAGCAAAAATGAAAAATCGTGAGAAACTTTGTCTAAACTGCTATTTCAGATCCTCATATGATTAGGACCATGACACCAGAGAACATGTGTCACATGACTCCTACGCCACCTCTCCCGCCACATGGACACTATCCCAGCATGCATCGGGACATGTACCTGAAGCCTGAGCCCATGATTTCACAGTACCCCATTGGACCAGCTACGAGTGGGAGCGGGGACATGCAGCAAACGCAGATGCTCCACCAGCTGCTGCACCAGCCGCATCCTCAGGGACAAGAGTGAGTCAGGAAGACGCGCGGGAGGCTTTGCATCAAAGCAGAAAGCCCGGCAGAAATGACCAGTGATGCCTTTGACACTGTTGCTGTTTCCTCTCACAGTGGCGTCCCCGTTCATCAGGCCAAGAAGAGGAAGCACTCCGATTCACCCAACAGCACCTTGAATTCCCAAATCCTCACAGGTATCATCAAACAAGAACCAGGTAGGCAGGCGTCTTTCTTCTTTCCTCGCCTGCTCCAGTTCACGCTCACCTGCTCTTACTAACTCTTAACACGGATAAAGACTTAGAAAACAGAACATTCTTCACATTCATTGATCACAGTTTGATAGTTGCTATCTAAAACTTTTTACCACAGGTTTGATGCAGGATGCAGACAACTCCTACCTGGACCCAAACTATCAGTGCATTAAGTGGCAGCCGCACCAGCAAAACAAGTGGACAACACTTTATGATGCCAACTGCAAAGAGCTGTGGGTGGAATTTATTTTGGCTCCTCTAAACATGTTTTGGAACAAAAAGAGCTGAAGGCAGTCCGCATAGAGAGAAATATGAAAGGAGTTTTAATTGGTTAAATGCATAATTCAACAAAGCATAAAGTGGGAGTGGAAAAGGAATAGCTGAGATGCAGAGGACCAGAAATTCCTCAGTGGTGAGCTGTGCGGGGGAGTGTGCACTAGCGCAGGGTTTCGACTTAGACAGACAACGTGAGGAGGGGGAAATGGGAAAAATTAGTGAGCACCTACTTGTGCTTTTGGAGTGCCAAAATAGATAGGGAGGAAGGTTAAAATGAACTCACCAGACCTTTGAGATATGTTATCAAAACCACCTGGTTGAAACACCACACCTAAGTAAAAAAAAGAAAAGAAAAAAAAACTTTAATTTGTATATATCTCTCAGGAGAGGTCCAAGATACTTTTGTAGAGTTTGGAGTTCAACAAAGAGGCAATATCCTTTATTTAGTATTGAAAATAGAGACAGAAGAATCAAATATATTACAATAAACATTTTGCTTTCCAACACGATACAAATTTAAGCCTATGTAAAGTCTTGGGATTGTTACATGAATCCATGCATATATCATTTTCAAAACTATAACTTTTAAAGTACAGAAAGTCTTGTGGGCTGAAAATTGCAGCGTGATGACAAGAAATTGGAAGTAACACAAATTCCTTCTCATTTCATGCCATAATCTCTTTCCCTCTTCTAGGCCGATGCCGACCTACCGTGTTGACGCTGACAAAGGGTTCAACTTCTCCTTGGCTGACGATGCCTTTGTTTGCCAGAAGAAGAACCATTTCCAGGTCACGGTGTACGTTGGGATGCTTGGCGATCCCAAATACATCAAGACCAATGACGTCCTGCAACCAATTGACTGCTTTTACCTCAAACTCAATGGAGTAAAGGTGAAAGAAACATGTTGCCATGCACTGCAGGCAGGGTCCATTACACGGCAAACAGTATTCATCAGTTTTAGCGTTCTGTAGTTGGAGTTACTCGAGTCAGTACAGATAACCTCCAACATGAAGATAATGACATTCTTACTGGGGTGCAGTGCTTTGTGTTTTGCATTTTAATGCATTTGAGCCCTTATGCTCCTCTGTGCAAGCAAACTTATAGCTTTCCAAGATAAAAAAGTCTTCATTTCCTTTCTTGCCTTAATAAAGTTGTCTATAATTTCTTATCGTTCTATTCTGAGATTGTGTTGCTTTAGTATGACATCCAGTGGTTATTTAAGGTCATGTATTGGATTTATCATTTTTTAATTCTTAACAGGTACACATAATTTCAGATTCTGATTCTGATTCTGATAAGGCACATAGGGAAACTAACACCGCCTCAATGTGTTTCGCTACTAGATTACGAAAATAACCCACAAATCAAAACCAAAAATCTAACTATTTTGATTTTTTGGTTGGCGTGTATTTGTAAGCAGGTGGAAGCCATGAATCAGTCCATCAGTGTTGAGCAGTCACAGTCGGACCGCAGCAAGAGACCCTTCAAGCCAGTTCTGTGAGTCTGATGTTATTAAATGGAGGAAAAAGTGTATAAAGCTAGAGCAGAATACATTTTAGACGCTATACCCTCATGATTTTCGTCTCTCCCAGCGTCACATTGCCACAGGATCAGGTCACAAAAGTCACTGTGGGACGACTTCACTTTAGCGAGACCACAGCCAATAACATGCGGAAGAAAGGCAAACCAAATCCTGATCAGAGGTGAAACGCATACCGTAGCATAGAAACGTTCCCAAACCCGCATGCCATACTCACATCTACTCCTGCTCCATTTGTCCATGCAGGTATTTCATGCTGGTGGTGGCGCTGCATGCACAGTCCCACAGTCAGAGCTACACTGTGGCTGCTCATGTATCTGAGAGGATCATCGTCAGGGTAACGTCTGGCCATGTCTGTCTCCTTCCTACAACAATCATATACAGTGTGAATGTGGCACCTTACTCGTGGTCTACCACTCCCTAACCTCATACAATCCATTCCTTTCACCCCTGTGAACATGATCATCATGACACTTTGAAATACGTTTGAGCTCAAAAGCTGATGTCAAAACTACACATCCTTTAAGCTCTGCATTGTCATTCTTGCTGAGAAAACATGTTTTAATCTTTCACATAATGCTTTTTCAGTGATCAATCTCTGTTGAAGATTAAATGAATGATCTTAACCTTTGAGCCTCCGATGTAGAGATTTAAGATTTTCCCGGTACAGTGATGGTTCTGAAGTTACTACTGATGTGTGAAACATGAAATGCCTGTTTTGTTTAATGACAACAGCTTACATGACACATTTGTTTTCTTACTAAAGTTGGCACAGCTAGTTTGCTTTTTTGCAGATGAGAGGATTAATAATATTCATATATTTATCAAAGCTCGGGGTTGATATACTGTATAAGAATTTCAGGGAAGAATGATGTACTTGTCTTTAACAGCTTTAATCAAGGGCAAAATATCTCTTTGGATGAAAGATGTTTTCATTTACTGTTGTCAAGAGAGGAAATAAGCATGTTATGGGATTCCTCAATCTGAAATGTTTTGAAATTTGTGTTCAATCATAACCTTTAAATGTCTGAATCAGATTCTTTGCGCACCCTTTGCTTTTTTGTGACAGGCATCTAATCCAGGCCAATTTGAAAGTGACAACGAGGTGCTGTGGCAGCGTGGCCAGATGCCAGACTCAGTGTACCACCACGGCAGAGTGGGAGTTAATACTGACCGCCCAGATGAGGCCCTTGTTGTCCACGGAAACCTGAAGGTCATGGGCTCGTTGGTCCATCCATCTGACATCAGGGCCAAAGAAAATGTTCAGGAGGTCAGGATGAGTTTGTTTGTGCTTGCCATCTTGGTTCTCATCATGTTTTCTTTAACTCTGGCAGACACTGTTAAGCTGCTTTTAATGAGTTACGAAACTTTCTTTTCCTCGGCATTACACAACTTTACATCTATTATTAATTGAATATGGGGTCAAAGAATTCTTTAGCAATTATTGCATTTGTGTTTTTTCTATTTTTGTGGCAACATATGTGGAAGTTTTGTCGGGCCTAATTAATATCAGTCTGCAATATGCTTTGCATTTTAATGCCAATGTCAAAACCGTTCTATCTTTAGGTTGACACCACAGACAATTTAAAAAGGATTTCCCAGATGAGGCTGGTTCATTACCACTACAAGCCTGAGTTTGCTGCCACCGTAGGCATAGAGAACACTGCAGAAACTGGTAACAGCCTCATGAATCCAAACACCTCTTTTCTTTATTTTCCTTGTATAATGATGTTGTGCTAATAGCTTTACTTTTTGGCTATGATAGGAGTAATTGCCCAAGAGGTTCAACAAATCTTGCCTGAAGCAGTGAAGGAGGGAGGTGATATTGTGTGTGCCAATGGAGAAACGATTCCCAACCTGCTAGTTGTGAATAAGGTGAGAAGTCCTTACACATACAGGATATTAATCACTGTGTTTCCTGACCAGTGTTCCACATACGTATCAGCTCTTATGACTTAATTTAATTTCGAAGGATCGTATCTTTATGGAGAACGTTGGAGCTGTGAAGGAGCTCTGTAAGCTGACTGACAATTTGGAGACTCGTATTGATGAACTGGAGCGCTGGAGCCGCAAACTGGCCAAGCTGCGTCGCCTTGACAGCATGAAGAGCACCGTGAGTGGAGGCACAGTGAGGTAAGCCAAGTCTGGCTTACGACCAGGCATATTATATTCTCAGAAATCTCTTTCAATATAAAATACAGAATCCATAACGTACTTTTCTATTTATGTTACACTTAGCCAATCAGGAAGTTATTTTAGCAGAACAGGAAGTGGGCCGCTCAAGAAGAGTCCGGCCAAATCTGGGAGCAAGGTGCGTGGTGGTTCTAGTTTAAAGGGCTGGGGAAGGTGATAACTATGTTATGTGATGACAAAGATCTCACCAGGTGTTAACTGTCTGTTACAGAACTCTCCCCCAGATCAGGGCTGCATCAATCAGAGGTTCATGCAGGGGACCATTCTGGCTCTGGTTGTCGTCATGGCCTTCAGGTGAGAGGACAGGTTTTTGTGGGGGGACAAGACCAAATCTTCTACTTCAATACACGCTTCTGACATCATCATGTGTTGACTTTTTACTTGTCCGTAGTGTCATTTCCATGTCAGTCCTTTATGTACTCACCCTTCATCATAGAGGAGACATCACAGAGAAAGATGGGTATGTACTATTCAGGTGCAGACACTTGACATCATAGTTGATTAAACAGTTTCGGACTCTCTGATAATCTCTTTATAAAATCTGCCTTGCTTCTTGTAGCTATGTTCCTCTCTGTGTTTTCCACTTCTCTTGGATGCCCATCTTCACTGCCACTGTAACTGTCTGTCCACCTGTCTGCACATGGTAGACTGTCAGCTTCCCTTCTTCTTACAAATTCAGTTTCTGTCTACGTAATCAGTCTTTTTTCTGCTGCTTGTTCACAAATGTGATAGCTAAATTGTATCGGAGTTGCGCTCTTGACCTTCTGTGGTGTTTCTTGTGACTGGTCCAGGTCCAGAGCAGCCCTGGGATCCTCTCGGAAGATGCCATACACTCCACCATCACCAACACCTGCACCAGGTACAAAAGGAGGTTATGGGAGACCTATATGGTCAAATTTATATACCACAGAGGATAAAGTTAATGCGAAAGCATTAAACTTTTAACGTTTCAACGTTTAATTTTGTTCTGTTTTTACTTTTAAATATCTTGAAGCTTGCTGTTCAACCACAGCTATAAACAACCAATCAGCTACCACCCTGGCACCAAGCACCAATCAATCTACACCAGGTAAGAGAATAGCTTTCATAAATGCTTTTTTGGTCATATTGCTCATGTAGCATCTATAAAGTATTAAGTACCGGTCTTTTTCTAGGTTTAAGCAGCTTGGTTCCCACACCAGGCACTATCAATAAGAAGGCCAAGTCCAGGTCAATGGACAAGGATGGCCACAACCGAAACCGTCTGAGTCATACGTCTTCACCCATGTACTTTGCCAAGTCGAAGAGGCCTGTCTCCACAGACGGAGTGGGAACCACCAACCGTCTACCTGGGGGGCAACAGCCTGCACCACGAAGACAGCGCAGCATTCACGCTAAAGGTAAATAACCAAACCCTGGCACTCTGTCAATAAACGGAATATGCAAACAGATTCATCTGATTTGTCTGATGACAGTAAGGGAACTTCATCTATATGTTTCAAATAAGGAGTATTTTGTTTCTTTCCTTCTTCTGCTTTTTTGCAGGAGGAAGGGTAGCCCCCTCACTCACCAGTGTCCACATCATAGAGACAAACCAAGAAATCACTGCTCAGAGTTGTGCAACAGCTGAGAGCTGCAGGTATACAATACAAATTACTACAATTACTACAATGGTCAATTATTCAAAGTAATGTATAAAAATGTGTTTCTGGCGTACGATTTGCTGAAGCTACATTTCTCTGTCTGCATTGTAGCTATACAATTTCACTTCTTGGACAAAGAAATTCCTCCATCTCACAAATTACTTTGCACATGATGTGAGTATAAACATAACTACACTCTCTCGTGTGCATTTTCTTTTGAATTACACTCACTTGCTTTTGTGCTGCAATTCAACATTATGTGAATGATCCCTCAATAATATAAAAGTTACATTGAATGAATTATTCATTTTAAGTCCTATCCACTTGTTTTGGCCTAACTTATCTTAAGAGGATGGGACCCGTGGTGCTTTTGGAAGAGCTTCTATCTTTGAAAAAAGTGCTGCTAATTCAAATCGATGATATTCTATTTGAAATCAGTCATTACACACAAGTGGACAGTGATTGTATAGATTTTCTTTGTACTTTGTTCAGTTTCCTATTAATGACTTGAGGTATTTTCTTTGTATAATTGGCCTATATATATTTACAGACATACAAGTACAATGAGGAGGTTGTGATTTATAGGAATGTATATTTCAAGTAATTTTGCAGAAGACAATCACCTGCTGAGAGTCATGTCATTTGGCACAAACTTAGGGCTTGAGAAACTCATCGGAAACTCTTTAAGAGGTAGTACGTTTATAAAGTGCAGCAATTCATTTCAGGTCCACAAACAGTGTGTGGGTACAACAATGTGGAGCCACCAAAGGACGTTTATGCAGCAACCACACAGAGAAAGAGCTTTACAGAGAACAGAGTACATCAACAAAGGTACAGGATCTCTTGCAAAGGAAAAACATTTCATTATTTGGTAGGCAAATTACTCATATTTGACTTGTGACCTTTTCTCTCAGGGGACTCACCACTTGTGGTCAGTGCCTGTGTTGTCTTTCCAGGATGTCACTTATCACTTCCGTGTCTCTCTGTCTGTAAGTAAACTTGGTCTTGATGATATGAGGTCCGTTCAGATGCTGCAGCTGCCACCTGGAAGCTCTGATTAGGTCAGTCATAGCGAGCATTTCAAACGAATCTGACCTTTTTTATGTTCCTCTTTGACAGGATGAAGTGAATTGTGCCACTGAAGGAAAAACGTCTTCCTATTCTGATTACCATTTTGTCATTCGAAGCAGCTGTGCATGAGGAGGAAGAAGATGTGCCTCAGTGTCTTTAAACTTCACCTTATATTTCTCCTTTGTGGTTTCTGTTGTACGCTGTTGTGATTAGATGGATTTTTGACTCATTATTGGACATTATTTTAAGGTAATTCATAAAGAGTAAACTATATAGTGCAGCACTGTCCCCCACTATAACCCCCTCTGCAACATCTCATTGTTCCTGTCAACACTGGAGTATGACACACTGAAGTCTTTTTGATGTAACTGACACTATTAAAGGCCGCTGTAAAAACAAGCCTGATAGGTTCATGGTTGAAGTTGTTGCAGATCACTATGTATTCCATTCTTGTTATAAGCCATAATTACTGTTTAACAGGCTGGGATTTTGTAGATGAACTGCACACATTTTAGTTTTGATTTGTAAAACCACAGATATGTGTGTACATTAAAGCCTGTTTTTTCAACAAACCCTTCCAGTACATTTAAACAGTGAGGAGGAGATCAGAAGCTTCTTCTGAATGCCTTACATGTTTAATATACCTCAGTAATGCCCATTAGCAAATCCGGCTCCAGGCACCTGATGCAGACTGTATGGTCAAGCAGCATCTGACAACAACACTATACAGTTATAGCACTGAATTAAATTAGTCAATGTGCCCAGAATGTGACCAGATAACTCCTGATGTGGAAATCTCCTGTAGATTTAGGAATCCTCCCCCAAGTCAAACTGATTTGTGTTGAAATCACTGAAGGACATATGTGCGTGTTAGGACTGGAACATGAAACAAATCACTGGAAATGAACATGTCCACACACTGAAAGGTCTTTGTTTCTCATGGGGTCCTATACTGACAATATTTCAAGATACACTGGAATAGCTTACACTGTATTTAGCTAACTGGACAATGCTGGTGAGGCAATAAATTGCATATATCAATTCAGGTGCATGCCCAATCATTTCTTTAAAAGTATACATCATAACTCAGAGGCAAGATCTAAATATTTGGATAATAAAGATCAATGTGTTTTAATACGAAACCAGAGAAGAATTTGGACATTTTACACTGGATACTCTCTCATGTATTTCTGTATATGTTTTAAAAGTCTTTCCCCTTGCCTATAAAACTAAGATTATGCAATGATAACACTTTGGGTTTAACTGAAATATATAACCTTTTCCCTTTTCCAAGTAATTTTCCACTTATTTTCAGACATTTGGTTTAAAACTTCTTTTAAATCTATATCATTCAGAAAAATGCAATAGTGTAACTCAAATGTAACATCAACATTGAATAGGAAAAACAGTCATCAAATGAAGGTCATAGAATTTATGATATAAAGACCCTGTACAGTGATTATACTGTATCCTTGTGAGCACTGTGTACTGTTTAAGCTTATTTATATTGCACCAGCTTGCATAATGAAACCACTGTAGCACTTTTTGCACTGTATATATGAACTGCTTTTGTTGTATTCCATGTCAGATTGGGGTCAGGTCCTTTATTAGAACTGCATTACATGTAACTGTACTGCATAATTTTATTACTACCAATGCCCCTTTTTATCTGTTGTATTTTATTGTGTTTTATTTTTCCCCAAGTTTTTTATCATTAATATATTAATTTTTAGCTTTTGGTGCTGGGAAATTATTGAGGAGCACAAGAGCACACGTATACACACATTTGTAATTCTGGTAGTATTTGTTAAAAGTTAAGTTGCCCAAGGCAAAATGTAATTGGCTGTATTAATATCACTACTTTATAGACTTTCTTTTCGTTACAATTGGAGGCTTTTGTGGAAAAAAAATGCTTTAATACGATGGTTGCATGCAGTAAATAAAATTGTGATTCCATTGTCCGAGTTGGTTTTGCTTGTCGTCTGAGAGCAGTTATTCATTCAGTCCGCTAGATGGCAGTATGAGAATCAACTCTGAACCCCCACACATTAAACCCTACATTTAGCCTGTCAGGTTGCAGGAGGCTGGCTACCTAGTCAGTAACCCTCCGTAGTGGGCATATGTTTATCAAATTTGAATGAAAATTATAAGAAAGTAATGATTCCATATCATAGATAATATCAATTATGAAAATCAAGAAGAAAACGAGATTCATGCACACGCTCGGAGGCGGAACTGCCTGTAAGGCTAAACGCTGGGATTATCACGTCAGCCATACGTCAGGAAAAAGCAGGAAATAGTAGTCAGTACGTGGCCTTTTCCTCTGAGACGGTAGCTGCAGGAGCTTCGCTTCATTTAACAAAATGGTAACGATTAACTCACATGTTTAATGTTCTTATAAATTCAGCGTTAATTTATATCTGTAAATTAATCTGTATACGTCATGTATAATTTCGCCATTAAAACCTTACGTTTTAAACACGAAAGTGTAGTAGGAAGCAAATGTAGCTCCTCAAGTCAGAATCGTGTAGCAATCTAATTAACGTGAGAATATTTCAGAGTTTATTTGTAGCAAGCTTAAGGTGTTTCTTTGGTAAGTCTTCCTATAACTGGGCTGTCTGTTTTCTGTGGCTGCAGGAACTCGAGGCCATGACCAGGTACACCAGTCCGGTGAATCCGGCGGTGTTCCCCCACCTCACCGTGGTCCTGCTGGCCATCGGGACATTCTTCACCGCCTGGTTCTTCGTGTATCCTTCCACTACTGCTTCTTCCACAAGTTCAGGACAGATGGCGGTTATGATTGAAGTCATAGGGTTTTTGCAGAATGAACATACAGTGGAGCTGCAAGGTTTAATCTATCATATCAATACCTTAGCCTGCCCATCTGCTGGAAGGGAAGTTATTATTGCCCATGACTGTTTATTAGATCACTGTCAGAAAACCATCCAAAGTGTGGGTTGTGTTGTAAACATCCCATTATGAGACTAGATTAGAGGTGTTCCTGCCCTAGACTTGACCTGTAAAACTTCTAACGCACGGTTGGATAACCAGTACATAACTGGAGTGTGTGAGGTTACACATCGCTGTACAGAGATTGTGAATGTTAATTAAACTGTTATCCCCAGGTTATTTATGGCCTGATTCTCTGCACGATAAGTTAAGGTTAGAATAGGTGTGCATTGTTATATTGGCAAGATTTCTTGTTTCTTGGCCCAGGAATGGCCATTTATCAGCACTTCTTGGTTATTTGAAACTAAATCAAATTATGGACAGAAAACATGAAACACTAGTTTTGTTTGTGAATCATTATTCTTACATAGAGGTCTTGCAGGATTCTGATGCCTAACATCGAGATCATATTTGGGGTGAAGTTCAGTGAGTTGATGCAGGTCTTTGTGTCTGGCAGA